TTTTTAGAAAGAAACCAAAGTTTGGAAAATTAGAAAAACACACACAAAAAACAGAAAAATAAATTGACCCCATTGGACTTGAGTTACTGTTGCTCTGAAAGGTCCCCTTCGATTCTAGCACAGTGACCAAGCTTCCTGCTCCTTTTCTTCTCTTGTTCCTCTTCTGACCTGGGGTCACATTCTAGCCTCTGCTTCATAATCTTCATTTTAACTTAAAATATCTGCCAGAAGCATTTCCCAAACATTGGGTGCCAGCCGTGATGTGGAAATGCTTAGCAGAAGCCATTTATTTGCCATTTCTCAAGCGCTGGGCATCTCTTCCCCTCCCCATGGGTTATCTAAACGGCTGCTGTTGCTGCTCAGACCAGTTCCTGGAAGCTGAACTGTTGAGTCAGAGATGTGAGAATTTGCAGGAGGGGGCTCTTCTAGGCAGGGCCCTGGGTGCCCAGGGGGTCATACCCCACAATACTTGCTGGACAGTGTGGGCTATGTGTGACAGCTTGAAGATACGGTGCTTCTCATGGTGTTGGACCAACAGGGTCACCCAGGGGTGCTTAGGGCCATGCAAAGTCTGGAATACAACCTGAGTCAAGCTCAGATAAGCCCCTAACCCATGTGCTTCTCCCTGACCCTAAGATGCAAGTCTTTTAAGGACATTTCTTCTTTTGGTATTTTGTTTGTTTTGAGTTTATTTGTTTGGGGCCACACTTAGCAATGCTCATGGATTATTCTTGGCTTTGTACTCAGTAATCACTCCTGGTGGTGCTCATATGGGATGCCAAGGATTGAACAAACCCCGGTCAATCATATGCAAGGCAAGCACCTTACCCACTGTACTATCTCTCCAGCTCCTTAATGGCATTTAAACTGCCTTTTTTTTTTTTTGGTGTTTCTTTGGGGGTCCACACCTGGCAGTTGTCAGGACATCTCGCTCTATTCTCAGGGATCACTCCTGATTGTGCTCAGGGAACTACATGGGATGCTGGGGAATGGATTGAACCCAGGTGAGCTGTGTGCTTGGCAAGTGAACTACCCACTGAATCCTGTCTCCAGTCCCTTTGATTTACTTCTAATGGGTATGAGGGAGACAAATGTGCAGTTCCCACTCCTACCGACAGCGAGGCAGGCGTCTGTTTCCAAACACTCTCCCCCAGTCTGCTCTCTTTTATGTTTAAAAATGGGATCAGTGGCGGGGATGGGGAGTGCCGAATTATTGGCTTAAGTCCAGTTTTTTTTTGATGATAGGAGATGCACACTTCTTAAAATATCAGTAGCTCCTTTGTATGAATATTCTTTCTGCTTTTGTGAAACATACATTTGCACAGTTTTCTACAGGAGTATTTTGGTCTTTTTTGTTGACTTGTAAATGCTTTTCATAGAACAAGAATATCAACTTATGCATTGCACTGTACGTTATGAATGCTGTTCCCAAATTTACCAGGCATTTTATTTGTTGTGTTTTTGAGGGAGATGAGTCTTATGTTATTTCTGTGGAATTATCAATCATTCGCCTATGGTTTCTGACTATCAGAAAGCTCAGAGGCTGTCACCTCAGTGCTGTATTAATACTCACCTACATTTTATTTGGGGCACTTCAATGGTATTCTCTTTCATGTTCTACTCTTACCTTGATACTGAATCACTAATCCATTTGCAACTTATTTTGATGTATGGCTTGAGATTGGAATCCCACTTAGACTTCTCCAAAATAATTGAATAATTATCTCAGTGCAATTAATGAATAATTCACTTTTTACCTGCTGATTGGAAAGAGCTACTTTTATCAAGTCCTAAATACTTGTGTCTACTTGACTCTCTGCAAGCTTTTCTTTCGCTCCATGGATGTTTTCCAATGCAGTGATTTTCATTATTTGGACTTTATGCTGTATCTGAAATTTTTCAGCACAAGTCCTTTCTCTTTTTAGGCTGTTTTCTCCTGTTTAGTCTTCTAGGTGCATTTTAGAGTCGTTTTGTCAAGTGAAAGTAAAAAAGCTTTTATGGTTCTGACTGGAATCGCATTTAACAGATAGATTAATTTGGAGAAAACTGACACCTTCACCTTTGATTCTTGTACCTATTTATTTGTCTGCTTTTGTCTCTCCTCTAAGGTGTCTTGTCACTTTGGGGGTGGGGGGTGGGATGCCACATCAGTGGTGCTCAGGGACTTTTCCTGGTTAGGCACTCAGGATTAACTTTTTTTAAAAATTTTTTTTGCTTTTTGGGTCACACCAAACAATGCACAGGGGTTACTCCTGGCTCATGCACTCAGGAATTACTCCTGGCAGTGCTCAGGGGGACCATATGGGATGCTGGGAATCGAACCCAGGTTGGCCGCGTGCAAGGCAAACACCCTATCTGCTGTACTATCGCTCCAGCTCCTCAGGGGTAACTCTTGGCCATGCTCTGGGAACATGTAATGCCAGGGATCAAACCTGGGTGTCCTGCATGCAGGAGCTCCAGCCTGGTGAACTGTTATCCTGGTCTTCTCTTGTCATTTTGACACCAGAGTTTTCATATACTGGCTATTGATTTATTATTCATCTTTGTATATTTTTGTTGCTAGTAGAGAGAAAATATTTCCCATTAAGTTTTCTTACTGATTATTTATTGCTGATATAAAGAAGCATTTTTTAAAAATTAAATCACAGTGAGATAAACAGTTACAAAGTTATCCATGATTGGTTTTCAGTCATACAATGTTCCAACAACTCTCCCGTCACCAATGTACATTTCCCACCACCAATGTCCCAAATTTCCCTCTTTCTACCCCTCACCCCCAGTCTGCCTTTAGGGAAGACAGTTTTCCTCTCTCTCTCTCTCTCTCTCTCTCTCTCTCTCTCTCCTTTTGGTCATTATGGTTTGTGGTACAGGTACCGTAAGGTTATCATGTATATTCCTTTACCTACTTTTAGCACTCAATTCTTGTCCAGAATGATCATTTCTAACAATTATTGTCATAGTGGTCCCTCATAAAGAAGCATTATTAACTTGTGATAACTGGTGACTTAACTTGACTCTTGATTAGTTCTTAGTAGTTTTATTTTTCATTTTCACTTTTTGTGGTACCAGGGATAGAACTGAGTCCTTATATATTTGAGTCAAGTTGTCTACTGCTGAGCTGTGAGTTCACAAAATGTGTGAGTTCACAAAATGTGTGAGTTCACAAAATGTGTGGGTACTGTATAATGCATGCAGTAGGTGATTGAGAGCTGCCTCCCGTCCTCCCCAGGCCTCCCCAGCAGAGAGACAGAGAGATGGAGGAGGACCACAGTCTGATGGTAAAAATGGCCCATTTAATGCAGAGCTGCAAGTTTACTTATAGAACAACTGAGGGGGTTGAGGTATAGGACCTAGGTGTGCTTGATCATTTACAGAGATAAAACATTTGGCAGAGTCAATTCTCTTGGAGAGATTAACTCAAGGAGACACTCTGTTTCCCAGGGACATCTACATTGCTTTTGTCTTTCCTTCTAGTTGTGTATGTCAAACAATTAAGTTTATTTCTTGTCAGTACTTGCATTTGTTTGGATAAACACAGTAAGAGACAAAGATCCCAAAACTTAGTTCTCTGGGCTCTGAGAGCAATCAAGGTTTTTACCATAAATCCCAGACTAAGTCCTCGGGCCAGTTCAGCTTGTCTTTCCCCACGGGGGTCCTGTCTCTTAAGTCAAAACAGCTTGCATCAAAACCATGCATTTATGCTTTCTAGACTGTTCCATTTTGATGCCAGGGTAGCTTTGCCACTTGCCCTAGGTCCATCCCAGTCCTGCAGCAGGACCTCCCTTTTGGTTCCTACTATAGCAAAACTATAGCAACTGAAGCCTGAGTCAAGTAATTGTGACCAATGCCCAGGAGTAGATCTATTTCAGAGTCAATCAACTCCCAAATATTAGGAGCATAGCATTAACGGTTTTTCTGTGTTTAACCAAAGAACATTGCTCTGTAGTAAAATCTAAAAAAGCTACCGGGGAAATAGAAAAAGCAAGTACAAATACACAGCAGTTCAAATACAAAGCATTACAAATACAAAGTACAGAATTACCAGGGAGTTTTGGCTTATAATTAATGAAGACTGACTTGGGAACTGTGACGATGAGGGTTAAAACACAAAGAAAAGGTTAAAGATAAGCTTTAACTAAATTAGAAATGCTAGCAAGAGCGTGGTAAGCTTCTCTGGGAGGTGGAAAAGAGGCAACTCACTGATGAAGCCTATAACACTTAGGGTTAATATCCAACACTGAGCTGTATCCCCTAACCCCTCTTACATTAGTTTTAATGTTTAAGGATTTATTTTAAGAGGTTTTAGGGAATTATTTTTATCATGTACAAATCAGTTTTTTCTTTCCAAGAAACATGCCTCTAAATTATTTTTTTCTTATTTCATTGACGGCTGGTGTGATGTGAATTCTTACCCTACTCTTTTTCCCCCTTTAATGAGAATACTTCTGGTGTTTCAACATTAATGTGATATTAAAGGCCAATTTGTGCTAAAGATGCTTCAAGGAAGTGTCTTTTCTGGGGCTAGTTTAATAAATATTCTTAACAGCAGTAGCTATTGGATTTTATCAAATGCTTTCTTACATTTTCTGAGTGGATCATGTGATTTTTTTCCCCTTTTGAGTGGGATGATATTCATAGATTTTTTTTATATTGAACCACTCTTACATACCTGAAATACAACTGAGCTTGGTCATGCTGTATTATCCTTGTAATATTCTGATGGGTTCTAATTGTTAGCACTCTATCATGAATTTTTTATAGCAATATTAGTAAGTTGGTCATTTTATTGACTGTCAGTACTCCAGAAATTTGCTAGCTGAGTAAAATGAAGGCAAAAGACTCTCTGTTTCTTATGCTCTGCATAATTTATATGGGAATTGTTTAAGATATTGTTGACGACCCGGGAGAAGAGCCACTGTTCCCCATAAAGCCCCCGAGTGTGGCGCCTCCGTGCATGTCCAACTTCTTCCCCCGACACACCACTGTCCCATCTCCTGCAGGAGGAATCTTCGAGTACACAGATGGCCCCAATGCCCAGGTCATGAACGCAGAGGAACATGCCTTCCGGTTTTCTGCCAACATCATCAACAGGAACAGAACTCTGCTGCCCAACACAACTCTCACCTACGACATCCAGAGGATTCACTTCCACGACAGCTTTGAGGCCACCAAGAAGGGTGAGTGTGCTTGGGGCACATCAGACCCTTCCTGGGCCCTGGGAGGGGGTGGGAGGCCACGTTTGCTCTTCAAGGTCCTGAAAAGGGCCAACCTCCTAGGGGAACACGGACCTTGGGTCTTTCATACCTGGTTGATAAACTGCCTCTGTGTCAGTTCGGCCACGTCATCTTCCAGGAACAGCGGGTTTCCATTAGAAATTCCTAGGCCACTAACAGAGACTGTGAGGCAATGATGGGTGATGTGAGGATATGGGTGATGGGTGGGGCTGGTTGTGGAGAGGGGGGCATTGCTGAGGCGGGGCTGAAGAGGTAGCAGGAAGGAGTCAACCCAGATCTTTAATACCTCTGAACATAGCTTATGTTTTTAAATTTGTTTTTCCCTCCTTTAATTAACATCCTATGCAGAATATCAGCACTTTTGAAACACATCACAGGGCTTTTGTGTGGGTTCAATAGGCAGCACTCACTTGCCATCAGAACACTTCCTAAAAACAAAGAAGCTTTCTCAGTGGCTGCATTTTAACCCCGGAGGCTCTAGGTGACACCTAAAAGCTGACATTGGCCTCAGCATTCAATGTATTTGTATATTTATTTTGTCTGCACAATAACAAAGAAACATACCATTTGCTAAAATAAGGTGCCATGTGTTCAATTAAACAGTTTTCCCCCACACCTGAATTCTGAAAGTAACGGAAATAATTACTATATTATTTATGGTGCGGGCATTGAATCACTCCTGTCCATCACTCCTTGGAGCAAACTCGCAGTTCTGTGCTCCTGGTGGTGCTCAGGGACCAGAAAATGAACCTCGGCCTCCCTCGTGCAAAGCCTGCACTCAGCCCTTTGAGTGATCCCCTCGGCCCCAAAAGTAACATTTTGAAAAAGTTGGCCTGCACCCCTCTTCATGAGTGACACATTCATGGTCCCTCCAACGAGTGCACAGAAGGAAAGGAAGTCTGTTCCAAGAGCCACGCACACACAGAGCAAAGGGATGTGTCAATCCCCGAGTGAACAAGCCGTTTGCAAGGGGGCATATGGCACATTTGGGTGACAAGTGTGCTTTTTTGTTACTGTTTTAAGACAGATAGTTCATATATATGAATTCATATATACATCATTTTTATTGAACTTTAAACTTTCAGAGATGCCTGAAGTTTCATGGGACTCCATTTAAAAATTCTAGGCCTAAAGACGCTCGTTCCCAGGAAGGACTTTTAAGCTGTCTTCACCTCTTGCTTTTCTTCTTTAAGGCGCTTGTCACAATTTGCAGTTAAATAATTGTATGGGTTGAATGTCTTTTCCCTGCTCCTGAGCACTAGTGAAAAAGAAATTGCTTCATCGCTGCCATGACCTTGGTCACATGACACTTTAGAGACTGGCATATGGAAAGTGCTCAGTGGGGTGATGTGTAAATGAGTCAAATAATGAAGTGTGAGAATGGGGCAGGGAGGTGGCTGGACATAGCTGCCCAGAAGGGGCCCGCGATGGCCCTTCTCATCTATCTCCAGTAGTGAATCAAGGGCTCCCAGGTGCAGACCAGCCACAGTGCTGCCTGCTGCTGTTGCTTTTCAAAACCCCATCTAAGTCCAGAGAGTCTGGGAGTCTGAAGGTCTACATTTGCTCACTGCCAACTCTGCTGATGAAGTACCTGCGCTTCAGTCTTCTCATCCACAAAATGGGCTTGACTCTGCTAGAGGCCTGTGTGAGGGACCCTCTTGGACTTTGTTCCTGTCACACTTACCACCTGGCTCTCCACACAGTGTGTTGTCAGGTAAAGGGCCTCACCCCCCAAGCGCTTCCCTACAGTGGAACCCTCTGTCACTAATCTGCTTCCCCTTCCTGACACAGAACAGGAGGATTGCTGACTTTTAAGTTTGGTGTTTGGGCCACAGTTGGTGGTGCTCAGGGCTTAACTCCTGACAGTGCTCAGGATAACATATGGGGATTGAAGATAGATTGCCTGTGTGGAAGGCAAGTGCCCTACCCACTGTGCTATCTCTCTGGCCCCAACCGCTGACATTCTGGAAACTCAGAACCAAATTGCAAGAAGACTAGAGGAACCCCAACATTTTTCATTGTGAATTGAAAGGTCCTTTGACCCTTGGCCTGTCCTGGGCCAGATGCCTCCTCCCTGCTCTCTTCCAGGTGGTCTGTGTCCCCTTTCCTGCTGAGTCTATGCTGGCACCCTCTTCCCGGCCTCATACAGTCACAGAATAACTGAACCCAACCACTGCTACTCGGTAGAGAAGTCAGGACACAGAGCAAAACACAGGAGTCACCATGTGGTCGAGGGGGCCCCACCACCCACAGACAGCCCTGCCAGATCTTCTCTGTTTCCTGAAAATCATGAAGCTTATACAAAGACCCCTGTGCTACTGGCAGGCCTGGGCCAAACCCAGCCTTAACTGACTCCCGGAGCTCCTACTGGACGAAGGCCCCCACCAACATGAGCTTGCCAGGCTTTCAACTAAAGGCCCAGCTTGCATGTCCTGGGCACCCAGTAGGCACAGCCACAGCCACGGCCCCTGTTCCCCTACGCCTGCTCCAGCACCATGTTAGCTCCAGACTCTGGATGGTGTGCTCTCATTATCAGAGCCCACAAGGGCCTGTCCAACCTCCTCCCAACACCCCACCTTCCACCCCAGCCAAAGACACTGGGCTTGAGTCAAGCTGCCTCCCTTGGGGACCCAGCTTCCTTCACCCAAGGCTGTTCTCTCAGACTGTGATTCCCTTTCGCCAGCCACCCCTCCCCACTTTGTCTACCAACTCAGCCTTCTCCCTCAAACATCTGTCCTCAGAAAAGCCCTCCCCGTCCACCCCCAAATTCGGCCACCTATTTCTGTCTTCTAATAGTATGTACTTTCCTTTCACAACCCCAACCACACACACGTGCGTGTGTGTGTGTGTATGAGAGAGAGAGAGATCTTTGCCCATCACTCCCATGACATTGTCCACCCCCTTTCCTTTCACCATTGTGCCATGGAACCTGGTCTGATGGCTGTCCCTAGGCATAAGCTTTGTCTGGATTGAACTTCATATCACTAGATCACCAGCTAATGCTGCTTCTTCAGTCTTCTTCTTGATCCCTGTAATGTATCCATGGGATATATCTAGGTTATAGGCTGTCACGGGAGTCCATTATCCTTTGGTGTGGTCGGGTGCTCCATGATATGAACACACCCCATTATTTTTTAGGAGAGGACCCTCCCAAGCAGTACTTAGGAGACCCCAGATCTCCTCCCAGAAATTTTCCACCAATCTGGCTGGTGATTCAATACCTGGATGCTCAGACCCAGCAGCACCCAGGGTTACCCGGGCCACCTCAGTAGTTCTTGGGGACCATATAGTGCTGGGAACTGAAATGAGGTTGGTTACATGCTAGCCAAGTACCTTAAACCCTCTGCTATCTCCCCAGTCCCAGACCACACTTAAATTTGTGGAAAAAAGTAAGAAAACCAATATGCTGTTGGACATTTGAGTTATTTCAATTTGGGAACACACAGTAGTGCTGCTGGGAATCTTCTCATCCACGCCTTTCCCTTGCTGGGTGTGTGTCCCGCACAGCCACACAAGCCCATTCACGCTCCCTGCTCCCACTAATGACAGCTGCCCTTGCCTGCACTCTGCCCCACTCTCGGTATAAAGTTCCTGTGACTTGAATCTTGGCCATTTGGCTGGCTTATGTAGTGGGCTTGTCCGTGAGGCTGTATTTTGCATTTTCCCTGACAACCAGAGATGTGGAGCATCTTTTCATATGCTAATGGATCATTTGAATCTTCTCTTTCCTGGAGTGCCTTTTTGAGCCTTTCAGCCACTTTTACAAATTGAGTTGCTTGTCATTTTCGTATTGATTTGCTGGAGTCTCTTGGTCTCCTGGGTAAGAGTCCTTAGCTGGAGAAGTGTGAGGGGCACGCCTATGGCGGATGAGTTTGCCTTTTACTCTCTTGGTAGCATCTTTTGAGGAGCAAAGTTCTTGATTTAAAGAAGTCCAATTCATCAATATTTTCCATTATGGCTAATGCCTTTTGTGCTCCCTCTCTTTTTGTCTCTCTTAAGGTCATGAAGATACTCCCCAATGTTCTCTTCTAGAAGCTCTGTTGTTTTATCTTCCACAGTTAGCTCTTGGATGGATCTCCAGCGGATTTTCTGTATGTGGTGGGAGGTAGGGGTTGAGGATTATTTTTCCTACTCGGTGCTATTGCAAGAGAAAACTGGTTCAGTTTCTCGGGAGAACCGTTTGGAAATAACTATCAAAACTGAATGTATGCCTGCAGGAATGTTCTATCTGCATCATAATAGCCAAACGTTGGAAATAAATTAGTGGTCTATCGGACGAAAAAGGGATTCATTTGGGATAGCTAGCCAATGGAAGTCTACTAGGCAGTTAAAAACAAAAAACAAGACACAACTCTTGCTCTGCAGAGCATTCTGCATAGAAACTCATATATGCTGAGTGGAGAACAGGGGGCCTGGGAGAGGGAGGGATACCCCGAGGATGACGACTGAAAGTGCGGGGAATGAGGGGAGCCTGCCTGGATATTGGGTGTTATAGGTTTTGATTCAAGTAGTAGGACCAACGTGGGTACAGTTACATATGCTAGTCATAAGTGAAAATGCATTCACATACTTAAAACAAATGCACGTTATTGTATTATGTCTCAATAAGAAAAAGTGTAAGTGGTTGGTTCGTCTCTGCCCAGTCTTCCTCAGTGCCCTGCAGAGCAGGCACCTAACTAGGCCCTGCCCTGACAGGAAGAACCACCATCCAGCCCTTGTGGCATTTCTGCAATTCACTCCAGCTCCCCACACGCCCCTCCATCCCTCAGGGAACTCCATGCTCCTGTGATCTGTTTTTGCCTTTGATCTTTGGTTTTTGAAAAAATAAAATAAATAAAAGGTATTTCTCAGGAGCAATCATTAGGAGTCTTCCAGGGGGCAAACTTTTGTCTAATTCTAAGGAACCCGGCACTAATTGGTTTTCCCCAGACAGAGGGCCCAGCCCCACTGCCCCTGCCAGGACCTGGACTCAGCCTCCTCCTTGGTGGGGGTAAGGGGGGCTAGCAATGAACCTGAAACCCACCCCTGCCCCACCAGCTCAGGTCGAATAAAACCTTCCCTTCAGATGAGGCCTTTCCCCATTAAAAAGGACTTTCACTCACTGTCTTCAGTTTTTTTTTAATGTTTTATTGGAAATGGAAAGACAAGCAACAGGCCGGCAGGAGCTCAGCGGCCTTGCAGGGCACGGTGCCTCCTCCCAGGCCTGACCCACAAGGCCTGGAATCGACCCAGCGCTCCCCAGGCTCCTTCGCCTCCACTTATTCTCCCGACTGCTCAATTCCTTTTAAGACACGCATTGATTGGGATAATTTTGGCTATAACTACGATTGCCACGGGGAGGGGGAGGGGCTCCATTCAGGCTGTGGATCCCTGCGATGTCTGTGAACCACAGAGTTACAGTCAAATGACCAGAAAATGGATTCAGAATTGGAGCCACAAATAATGTAATTACTGCAGTGGTGTGCTTGGGGCTGCCAGAACAAGGGCTGGAAACATCTGGAGATGGAGCTGCAGCTGCTTGACTGGCTTCAGTCCCTTCGTCCTTTCCAGGCAGGAAGATCCTCAGATGGTGGAAGGAACAGGACGGAAGTGAGGAAATAGGTTTAGGGAAAGGTACACGAAGAGAGGTCAAGGGCAAGACCCAGGTGAGGCAGCCTCGCTAGTGCCATCCACCACCCAACACCAAGAGTTAGTCCCGCATCGTTGACAAAAGGAGACTAGAGTGATTGTCCCTTCATCACCTCTCAGCACCAATGCATGGTCACTGCCAACAGTGGTGTCACCTCTGCCTTGAACAATGCCCCACATCCATAACCCCCTGCTGGCCTCATTCCCCTCACATTCCCCCCACTGTCATGAGGCCGTGACAGCCCCATCTGCATCCTCACCAGCCTCATCCACACCTACAGCATCACTAGTGTCCCTGTCTGTGTCATCACTATTCACAATGGCATTGTCACCTTCAGCACAACCAACCTCATCAACCCCACCCAAATTGTCACAGACAAAGAGAGACAGAGAACCAAGGTCACATGTAGCTTGTCTCACACATGGCTCAGCCTGGTTTGATCCCGGGTACCACCAGGTGTGACCCCAAGCCTGAAGTTGTCACAGATGACGTCCATCTGCATCCTGGCCACCACAACCTCCTCCGCATTCATCTTCAGTCCTTCTCATCACCAGCATTTGCATCTCCTCCTCACCTCATCATCTCCAGAGCCAGTATTGCCATGGCACTGACATATTTCTACCACCAGTCCTGCCATCACCCTCCCATCTTTATGACACAGCATCAGTCTTGTCGATGGCTACCCCCTGTACTCCCTCCACACACACACACACACACACACACACACACACACACACACACATCAATGTCATCACCATGATCCCCGACCAGATCTTACAGTGTGGCCTTCACATCACAACTTGGATTGCAGGGACCTGGGTGGTTGTTCTCAGACTTGTGCCCAAGTTCTCCTCCTTCAGGATCACTCCTAATGACCTGCTGCATTGTGGGTGTTTGTTCCTCTCATCCCAGCCTTGGTTCAACAGAGCACCCAGACACTGGGCACGAGTGCTGGGGGAACCTGGGGCTGGAGGGCAAAGGGTGAAAGGCAAAAATCACTTCATGGTGGTGGGAGTGACAGGAAGGAGACACATGGTTATTCCCTAAGCCACCATTAAAGTGTCAGAGGGGAGAATGAGAGGCAACCAGGCAGAGTGGGACAGAACCAGGCAACAACTAGAAGATTCCACTGTTGGGAAGCAGAGAAGGCGAGAAACTTCCAGATTTCATGGGGTGCCGCTGCTTCTGTCGGACTGGAGGGAGAAGCAGGCTGAGACAGCAGTCATTCTGCCACATCTGCAGGCTGGTGTCCAGCCTCCAGGGCCACAGTGTGATGCATGTGCAGTGTTTTCCTTAGACCTGGCCATCTTCAGTGGCGGGTGGGGCGGCGTGATCAGGGCAGACATGGGATATACCCAGACACAGAAGAGGGGTATGGACAGCCAGGCCCAGGTCCTCGGGGCCAGGGCATAGACAGAGAAAGTCCCAGATTGGACGACTTGCCAACCCACCCCAGATCCCGTTTGGGGGCATTTCCCATCTTTGGGGTTCATTTCACACAGACCACCCCCCAGGCATAGTTCACCAGAGGGTGGTGCCTGCAGGGACAGATCTGCTTCCAGACTCGGCCTCCAGCCCCGCTGGGAAAGCCCCACATTCCTCTGCACCACTATCCCCGCACTTGGTGACAAGGCCCTGGGTTACCCGGCATGCCCGTACAGGCCCTCCCCCTGCCCCTGGTCGACGTCCTGTTCCTTTTCTGGGCCCTCAGTGGTGTTCTCTGGTGCAGTGGAGGAAGCACAGCTCACAGGAAACCATTATTATAGAGCATCCCCATTCTCACGAGCCACAACTGCAGGAGAATGGACCAGAAGTCAGGGGGCAGTACACGGAGCCTCCACACCAGACATTCTGATGGATTCAGAGCCATCCTGTGCCCTTGCCACTGTGCCACCTAAGCTCAGTCACGAGGGCCCCTCCAGACCCCGCGTTAGTGATTCTGCTCTCTCTGGGCGCCTCCTCCCCAGGGAGGGTGTATGGGAGGTGCCCGACCTGCCTGCCTGGACCTGGTGGCCTGCCAGTCTGCTCTGCTCCAGAATGAAACCCTGAGTCCCCTTCTCAGTCATCCTGACCACCTCCAGGCCTGCGTGAGGGAGAACCAGGTGGCCCTGGTGACACCTCTAGGTCTAATCTGGGGGTCACCAGGGGACAGTGCCGGCAGGGGTATGGACAGAGCTCAGACATCAGGGCTGGGGTATTTATATGGGCATCTGGGCATCTGAGCAGTGTGCTGAGATATGGAAGGGGGGCGAGTTGGAGTTGGCATAGGGGGGCTGGCCAGGGCTGGGGGTCTTCACTGAGCCCTCAGGGATCAGTATCTCAGCCCTTTCTGTCTCTCCAGTTTCCACCTGGCACAGAGCTGGCAACGAGGACAATGGTGGTCACCCGCCCCCCCTCCCCACCTGCCCAGTCCATTCTGTGGCACCGTGCTGAGGCCCTCCTGTGCATTATCTCCTTCTGCAGTGCTGTGCTGTGCTTGCAGGAGGCCAGGGCTGTTCCACCTGGTTTCCAGAAGCAACAGGCAAGATGCAGAGAGATCTGGGGAGGCTGCACTTAGAGGGGTCTGGGGCGTTTGCCCCCACATGTGTTTATGGGATTGTGCCTGCAGCCCAGCCTGACACTCTGTCCTTGTCCCTCGCTCTACCACAGCCTGTGACCAGCTGGCCCTGGGCGTGGTGGCGATCTTCGGGCCCTCACAGGGCTCCTGCACCAATGCCGTCCAGTCCATCTGCAATGCCCTGGAGGTGCCCCACATCCAGTTGCGCTGGAAACACCACCCGCTGGACAACAAAGACACCTTCTATGTCAACCTGTACCCCGACTACGCCTCCCTCAGTCACGCCATCCTTGACCTGGTGCAGTACCTCAAGTGGCGGTCGGCCACGGTGGTCTACGACGACAGCACAGGTGGGTGCTGGGCACTGGGGTGCAGGTGTTGCTCAGAGGTTCAGTATCAGGCTCCTGACTGCTCCCCAACTCAGTTGACTCCCTCAAGAAAAGACTCACATTCACATCTAAGGTCTCTCCAGTGTCCCCACACTCGTCCCTACATCCCCGCCTGGCCACTTGCACTCAGCCTCAGCCCACCTCACAACTACCTCCCATCCTTCCCCAAACTTCCACCTCCCCTGAGCTCACGTCTGCACGCAGCTTCACCTGAGCACTGTACTTACACAGGTGTAGGACAACCTCCCGGTTATAGCCACGCCCACCGCAGGCCACACCCACAGGCCATAGTCACGCCCACAGCAACGGGGCCACGCCCACATCTGTGTAGCCACTCCCACTCGCAGCCCTGCAGCACCTGTACTTGTAAGTTGCACCTGTACTTGTAAAGTTACATCCCCACCGATGAATCCCCACCTGCAGCGAGCGTGTCAGGCTTTGGATTCAGTGTGATCAGAAGGTGTGTGCCAGCTATGAGGCTCACTAGCTGCATAGTGTGGAGCTGTCTCCTCTCCTCCTCATTCTTCCCCAGACATTGCTTAACCTTCCCAGCCTTCTAAGAGAGAACGACCTTGGCAAGTTACTTAATTCATCTGGCCCTCCTCTACACATCGCAAATCGAGAGCTGAAGCCTCCAGTCTGGAAAGTGCCTTCCTGCTCTTGGCTGTTCAATGCGAGTGTTTGGTGACCTCCTTGTGGGGATCAAGACAAGGGGGAAAGATTCCCTCCGAAAAGACAAAACTGAGAGTCGCTTAACCTGGACTTCTCCAGGTGTCTCCTGAGCTTCTGCTACAGCACCAGGCAGAAGCTCAGGACTCCTTTCTGCACAGTGGTCCCTGCAGCAGGTCTTTGCCATCAAGGGGTGCTCCCTGCCAGCTCCAACTCACCACCGGTGTCTCTGCAGCCCTGGAGATCTGTCCTAACACACAAAACAATTGTTGATCCTTGAACCTTTTTCTGCTTTTGGACCATGTGTTTTTGGGGATTTAGCGTGAGGCCTGGTCTAACATAGATGTTTTAATTTTTTTTTTATTTTTGGGTCACACCTGGCAATGCACAAGGGTTACTCCTGGGTCTGCACTCAGGAATTACTCCTGGCGGTGCTCAGGGGACCATATGGGTTGCTGGGAATTAAACCCAGGCTGGCCTCGTGCAAGGCAAACGCCCTACCCGCTGTGCTATCACTCCAGCCCCTAAAATTATTTTTTTAAGTGAATCAAAAATCAAGTTAAAAAAAACTCAACTTTTGCAGGAAAATGATGTAATTGGGTGCTGGTAAAGAAGAGAGTGGGACCTGGTTGTCCCACGTTATTTTGCCCACACTCTCAGAGAGTAGGTGTTCTCCTGGCAGTTGCAAGACATTGGAACCAAGAATCATGGAGCACATGGGTTCAGTCAGAATTAGAGACACTGGAAAGAGTAAACTCTGTGGCTTTGGCCAGTCTGGCTGACCTCTCAGCAGAGAGAGACAAGGGCGGGGCCTGGGAATGCTGGAACCCTCTGAGGGACTGGCAACAGCAGAGGGGAAAGAGCAAGCAAAACTGAGCAGGTAGGACTGTGTCTTGTGTTCCTTCCAGATAGATAGAGCCTGGTTTGGGGAGACAATTCAAATAGGGTATTTTTGTTTTTCTTGTGTGGCCACACCCAGTGGTGCTGGGATACAGGAAGCATTCAGTGCTGGGATCGAACCCAGGACCTTACACTTGCTTTATGTGCTCTACTGCTGGCATCATCTCACTGGCTCCCCTAGGATTTTTGTTACGTGACTCCTAACTTTCCTTAGTAAGTTTCTACTTTTTTTTTTCGCTTTTGGGTCACACCGGCAATGCTCAGGGGTTACTCCTGGCTTTGCACTCAGGAATTACTCCTGGCACTGCTCAAGGGACCATATGGGATGCTGGGAATCGAACCCAGGTCTGCCATGTGCAAGGCAAATGCCCTATACTCTGTGCTCTCACTCCAGCCCCTCCTTAGTGAGTTCCTTAATGTGACCTCCTAACTCTTGTCCAGGAGGACTGTCCCAGAACCTTTCAGAGACCATTCCATAAAGTTCCCTGGGTCTGTCCCTATGTCTCTGAGCATAGTCAGAAGAGGATGGGGTAGTGTTAGTTGGCACCTACCAACCACAGTCATCTGTTGGGACCAAAGTATTGCCACCCAGACATGCTCAAAGGGGACACTTGAACTATGCATTTCTATAATAAAGTTATGTAACAAATAAAACCCCTTCCCCCCCAAAAAATAAAAAAAAAACGACTTAGTGACTTAGAATAATCAACCTGTATCTACCTCAAGGTTTGCAGAGGCAGCTAGACATGGCTAGACAGTTCTTCCTGTCTCAGCTCTATTCCTCACCTGCCTGGGACTTGGCTGGGCTAGGCTGGCCATGGCCAGGGTGGCAGGCAGGGACAGTCTCCTCCACCTGTCCCTCATTCGCCAGCAGGCTAGCCTAAGCCTGCTGTCATGACCATGGAAGGGGACAAAACAACTAAGCCAAAGTGTACTGTGTCATGCCTGCTGATAGGTTAGGGACCAGAACACATCCTATGATTGAGCCCAGTGCAGGGGGTGGTATGGCACCCTGCTTCGGGGATGGCACAGCAGAGCTACATGGAAAGGGCATCACCATGGGCAGGGTGAAGAATCGGGGTCATCTCGACAGTCTCCTACAGGGGAAATGGCTTTGAAGTGCAGCCAGGATTTAAGAAATGGATGTGGTCGAGAGATGAGAAGATAGTGACACTGAGAGAAGAGCCGATATTTCTAGTTCCCCAGAAGTAGGAGGGGCACGATGTTCCATGCAAGGCCACACAGGGGGGCACCAGGGCTGACTGACGACGGGAGGCCTGGACAAGGGAAAAGCAGGGGCAGAGGCAAGAGCCTTTATTACAACAGTCTGGTCACAGGCGTGGTTAGTTGACATCAGCCCTCAATGGTGGGGTGCTAAACCCAGTTAGAGGGCTCATTGAATTTTCAATCTCACTCTTAGTTTGGCCCATGATTTCAGGATGTCAAACCATTACAAAATATCCAGATATTGTCACAGCACCCAACAGTGTTGGAGAGAGCTTTGCCTGTGTTCACTTCTCTAGCTAATACAACACCAAGACAAACCCATTCCAAAGAAAGGGGCTTTGATTTTTTTTTTGTTTTGTTTTTTGGGTCACACCCAGCGATGCACAGGGGTTACTCCTGGCTCTGCACTCAGGAGTTACTCCTGCCGGTGCTCAGGGGACCATATGGGATGCTGGGAATCGAACCTGGGTCGGCCGCGTGCAAGGCAAAAGCCCTACCCGCTGTGCTATCTCTCCAGCCCCCAAGAAAGGGGCTTTGAAAACCTGAGGTGGACAAAGGTTCTGAGAGTTGACAGATGGAGTCTTGTTTTTTTTTGTTTTTTTTTTTTACCCCCTGCTGCCACACTGCCAGAGCCCAGGGGTCCGCAAGTCTCCTCCGTTGGCCTCAGTCTCTCCATCTGTAGCTCCGGATCGAGTCTCCCTGCTCTCTACCTTCGAGGACAGGGAGCTGGTTAAGTAGGGTAATGAATGCAGAAGCGCTTTGTAAGTGAAAAGCATGATTCACTGCAGATATTTTGAGAGAGATTGATTGGGGAAGCAGCCAGAAAGGAAAGCTCAGCTCAGGCAAACAAAGAGAGCCTAGACTTCTGCTGGGCTGGAGTGTGGAGGGGCTGAGATGAGCCCCTGGTCCCCTTCGGGAATACACTGATGGGAAGGAGAGATGACACAGGGCGGGGGGCGGGGGGAGGCTCAAGGGCTACTGTGCTTCACATGGGGCAGTACACTTAGTTGACAAGAAGGCCCTGGTGGCTTCTGCACTGTCCAGGCTGTCCCTGTCCTCATGTCCTGCATTCCCGAAGTCCTCATACCTGCCGAAGCTATACACGAACCTGGAAGCCCAACACATAGAAGCAGAGTGGGCAGCTGGGGCCTTGTAGGAACTTGGGAGTGAGTGGCAGGATACTTTGCTACCCTCAGCATTTCTAGGGGTACTTAGGGGGAAGGAAGCTGGGAGTGTTTGGGGGGACGAGGTTGTTGCTGCTTCCTACTCTGCGAACGCCAGCCAATACCCTCATCCTGTTTCTCCTCCCATCAAGTCTGATCACAGGAGGCACTGGTGTGATCCAGACCATTCCAGGGCTCCAGCACCCTCTCTCAGCCTGTATGCCAAGGGCTCCTGACGCTTCCAGGCTGGAGTGCTTTGTGGGGGGCTGGCATATTTGTTTCTATCCGTCCTGGCAGAGGAAGTGATGGGGACCAATCAGATTGCCTGTCTGGCACCCAGCCCTCAGGAATGGGGATGAGACCCAGGTGTGTGGACCTGAAACAGTTTGAGAGCCCAGAACTATCTATTGGGGACTCCTGAAGTGGGCTGTCTGCATGGAGGTGGGGTGGGGGTTGTCCAGATCAGGGCTGCTATAACCAGGATTGCAAACTTTAATCCAGAGTAATGTAGATTGAGCAAAGATGGGGGTGGGAGTAGGCGGGGATTGTTGGTAGCCTCTACTAGGAAAGTTCAGGAGTAATTTTAGCCTCAGGTGCCATTTGATTCAGGGATTCAAACGGGCGCTATCAGGATGGAGTTGCTATTTTTCCTCTGGCTTCTGCCACGTTAGACTCTTTGAGTTCCATGTGCTGGCCCCAGGCTTACACTCTCCCTATTTGGGGTTAAATGACATAAAGGTGTTTCTTACCCCTTCTGAAAGTTGCTTTGATAAGGCCAGCTGATGTCATATCCTTACCTGGAGGAGTGTGTGTGCTCCTCAGCCAGGTGGGGGTCACGTGTTGTGCACCTGGAGCTCGGGAGACTGGGTCCCATGGATGGAGGGATTCAAGCAGGTGTTCCCTGAAGAAAACCAGAGTTATTGGTGGGGGGTAAAAGTGTGGCCACATGCACACACAGGCTGGACACAGACCCTGATCCCTAAGTGTGGGCAAAGCTGGAATAAGGAGGTGGGGGGCGGGGGGCTGCCGGCCCCTCCCTGCAGAGAGCAGGCATCACAGAGAGCAAGAACAGACCGTGAAATAGAGATGGAAATGAGCTTAATTAGACCTCAGTGAGCCATTTGTCTCCAGGAAGAGACACCCCATTCTCCCTGGAAGTCCCGGATGAAGAGCTCATTAGTCGCAGGCTGTGGGGATGCGTGTTTCAGCGTGAGGGGGAAAACCGCATCGGCGAGGTCACACGTGACTGCAACTGGGCGCTGAGCAGCACCCAGCGATGGGACCCAGCCAGGGCAGGCAACATCCGAGAATATATATAGAACAGGGGCAGTGAGAGAAGGCCAGAGGAGGCCAGTGATGAGAAGCGGGACCCCAAACTGAGAAGGGAGGCTGGGGAGGAGAGATCTGGGCTGTTTGGTGCAGGGGGGGCGGGCCTCCTGGAAGAGTGTTTACCTGAAAGCCATCTATCCTGGGAGGGGGCTGGACCCAGTCACCACCTGGCCCTCCCCAAATGCGCATTCGACACAGCTGGAACTTCCCTTGTGCCTGTAGCTGGAGCAGGTCACAGGCCTCACAGTGCTCTAGGGGGCTGGGTGAATAAGGGTCTCCTCTGCACCTCACTCCACAGTCTGTTCACTGGTTTAGAGAGCCATGATCAGTGTGTACTGGGCGCTTTGGAATCTACATTTTTATATACATCTACACGTACCAGCCATGGTGTGTGCACACGCGTGTCCTACACAGGTGTGCTTCAGCCCAGGGACACACCCTGTCTCCACAGACGTGTGTGCTGTGCTCCTCGTGCACACGCCTGCACGCATATGTACTAGGAGCCCATATCCAGGCCGGACTGCTCCCACTCGTGTCCCTGTCCCCGCACTCGCCCCTCTCTCCATGGGCTGGGATCCGCATTCACGTGCAGATGCAGACATGAGCCATAGGCAGCTGTGCCCAGCACTCATGCTTTCACGTGTGCACACTCATGTGTTTTGTGCCCCCGGGCCTCTCAGGGCTCATCCGCCTACAGGAGCTCATCATGGCTCCGTCAAGATACAACATCCGCCTAAAGATCCGCCAGCTGCCCCTGGACTCAGACGACGCACGGCCCCTGCTGAAGGAGATGAAGCGCGGCCGGGAATTCCGCATCATCTTCGACTGCAGCCACACCATGGCCGCGCAGATTCTCAAGCAGGTACGTGAGCGCTGGCCAGTGGGGCGGGCTGGCTGGCACGTGTGTGGCCCCTCTCCTGCCCCCACCATAGACTTCTGTGTTCTCTCAGACCCCAGCTCCGCCTCCTTTCTGATTTCATAGCCTTGGGTGTTCTCTTGGCCTCTTCGAGCTTCTGTTTCCTCAGCACAGAGGCAGGGTGGGATGGGGTGATGGGGGGTGGGAGGGATACTGGGACTGGTGGTGGTGGAGAATGGGCACTGGTGGAGGGATGGGTACTTGATCATTGTATAACTGAAACCCAAGTACAAAAATCTGTAAGTCTACAACTGTACCTCATGGTGTTTCACTAATCACGGTCACGGTCCTCCCGTTATTCATTGATTTGCTCGAGCGGGCCCAGTAACACCTCCATCTTGAGACTTGTTACTGTGTTTGGTGTATCAAATATGTCACGGGGAGCTTGCCAGGCTTTGCTGTGCGGGCGAGATACTCTTGGTAGCTTGTCGGGCTCTCCAAGAGGGGTGGAGGAATCAAACTCGGGTCAGCCATATTGGCCACTTGCAAGGCAAACGCCTTACCCACAGTGCTATCGCTCCAGCCCGGTGTTTCACTAATAAAAATTAAAAAAAAAAAAAAAGGACACGTGGGCCCTGACACTGAGGAAACCCTGCCTCCCTGACACTTCTCTAGAGTAGGGCCCAAAGTCACACAGAACAGAAAACTTTGGAAACTCAGAGACTCGGGGAGCTCAGGGGGCAGCCCCCAGGATGCCTGGCGCTGATTTATTCCCCGTACCAGCGCCTAGGTTCTGTGTGCCATTTGCTCGACATGGCAGCAACCGTGGGGGAGGATTAAGACTCGCAGGCCCAATTGAGCCTCTGTTCTAGACACAGTCCACATGGAGGCTGGGAGCTCTGCAGCTTTTCCAGACAACTAAAAGGGTGCCCCTCAAAGGGTGCTGCCGCAGAAAACAGCCATGCAACCTGGAGCTGTGTCACAGGTCCCCCGTGGGGCAAGCTTAGGGGGGTTGGCACATACCATTGCAAGAAGTAGGTGGCAGGGAGTGGAGTGGACATGACTCCAGGAGTTCTGAGACTGACTGAACAGGGTCAGGAGTGCTTTCAAGACCTGAAGGAGAGCACCTATGGGCCTGGGCACTATCAGAGAGTGAGAAGCTGTATTTCTGTCTGTCCCCGAATGAAACTTGCTGCTCTCACCTGTCACTTCCAAGAACGAGTCCCCTCAGTTTTCCCCCAGCTCCCTTGCAGCCTGTCCTGCCCACCGGGGGTGCAGGGGGAGTCTCCTGATTCACATCCTGAGGCTTTCTAACACTGTGCTTTCACACAGGCCATGGCCATGGGCATGATGACCGAGTACTACCACTTCATCTTCACCACTCTGGTAAGTGCCTCCAACTCCCAGCTGGATGGCATGGGTTGTGGGGGGTCCCCTCCATTCTGAAGCTAGAGGTCACTGGGGTCAGACTTGGCTCCCAAGGCCGGGTGACAGCTCCGACTGACAGCACAGATGTGTCTTTATGGCCTGCCCTCTTTAGGAAAGTGATGTCACATTGGGTCACAGGTGGGGCTGGGACCCCCAACATGTGGGCGCATGGCTATGTTTACTGGCCAGAAGGGGGGGCCCTCTGATGACCTGCCTTGATTGCCAGGATAATCCTTGACCCCAACTTGCATTTCCCCAAGTGTGGTGCTGGCCTCTCTCATGCCAGCCAGAATGGCCACTTCGGGTTCCTGGTGGGGACCTGTCCAAAATGGGTGCACGTGGAGGCGCATTTCAGCCCGGGAGGGAGTTGGTGGCACCCAGGGACATAAGACCAGCCTCGTTTCCTCACAGCCACAGGACTCTGACCATACTCTGACCTGGCTGGGGCCTCCATGTTCCCCCACCCTGGACAGCTTCGCTCCCAGCCTGCCCTAAAACCAGCTCTCGGGGGCTGTGTGGGCCTCTGTGTTCCCCCCCCCCCCCCATTCAGACACTAGTGACGAATGTGTCCTGGAGTATAGGCGACACAGACAGGAGATAGGCCGGCCCCCCAGGAGTCCTGCTGTCCACTCTGCCTCTCGTGTCTAGCCGGCACAGCATGCTCGTGACCCCCAGGCCAGACCAGATGGCACTGGGAACAGCAGGAGGAGATGCCCGGTGCTGAGGGAAATGAGAGTTGGGCTTTGCAGGCAGCAGCTCCTTGAACTGGGCCTCAGAAGCTCAGCAGGGGCTCCCCAAAGAGAGAGCGAGGAAGGGCATTCCACGAGGGAGAACCACAGAAACCAGGGCCAGCAGGCAGGAACACCTCTGTAGGCTGCTGGAGCCGGTGTCCCCAGAGCTGCTCAGTCCATCTCCTCCCCACAGTGACCCGGTGACTGGCGTCTATGTCAGCCTCTGAGGGAATATTCACAGCATGGAGGTTGGCAAATTCTGCCTTGCCCTGTGACCCCAGGAACTGGTGATTAAGCATTTCCCAGCACACCCCAGCTGACTGTCCCCACTCCGCCACCTGCCCACTGTACGGGTGTCCATGAGGGCTTAGGGACCACCCTGCACATCCTGACCCAGGTCTGATCCGTCCCTTCTGGAGTCCACCCAACCAGAGCTGTTTCTGGAGGCACTGAGGTCCCCAGATGCCCGATTCCCCAGCTCTGCTCGCAGTGAGGAGAGGGCAGAGGTGCAAGGCTGGGGGTGGGGTGGGCACAGTCTAGGGGTGGGGCTCTCTGTGTCCTGATCTGGCTCCTTGGGCTCTGAGGAGAGGCAGGCACTCCCCGCTCTCCTGCTCCTATGGCCGTCCGAGCCCATGCTCTGAGCTGCTGGGATGGAAGCCGGTTTCCTGGTCACAGAACAGAGGGACAGGGAGCTCTCTCCCTCTCCCAGGGTGACCTGGCCCTAAGACGACAGTGTGTGCCTGACACCTCTCTCCCTCTCCCCATTCCCCCCTCTCTATCTCCACACCTCTCTCTCTCTCTCTCTCTCTCTCTCTCTCTCTCTCTCTCTCTCTCTCATTCTCTCCTGCTGCCAGAGATTCCTGGTATCCCAGGGCCTCGGAGCTTGTCCCTAACATGGAGATGAACAGGGAGCGACTTCCAGGCCTCCCATCCTCATTTGCCATGTAGGTTTTAAGGAAAACTCATTCAGGCAATCATTCAGTTGCAAAGCCCCGGGTCACAGAGAACACTTGGGGGTATGGTCCTGGATCTCCCTCTGGATATCAAGGGAAGGACAGCTCCAGCCCCATCTCTCTGCCCACTGTACTTTCCGCTGCTCTAGACTCCAGCTTGCTCCCCAGTTCTGCTCCCTGGCATTAAGTGTATCACAGGGAGTGGGGGCACTGGTCACAGCCCAGATGCCCCTTCATTCTGCCTCCCCTGTCTCCAAGAGCTGCACCCCTAATCCCACTGAGGCCGGGCTCTAGGGGTGTTTCCCCCTCAGTGGTGGGACTGCGCCTTCACCAGCACAACATGTCCTGCCCCTCATGGATCAGCCTTGTCCCCACACACTGACGACAGGCGCAGTGACATGTAAGTCAATGCCACCCACATTTGTAAATACCAGTGGGAACAGATGGAAGAAACCCCCTTGGAGAGCTGACCAGTGCTTGTTTAGCCTGCCGAGGGGGAGGGACTAGGAGCTCCACTGGATTCCCCACTCCTTACTGACAACCCCACCCACCCGAAGAGATGGAGCCACAGGTGGGTCCTGTAGAAGTGGCATGGACAAAGTTTACACTGCTAACACACACATACAGAGAGACACACGCACACAGACACGTGCAGACACAGGCATATACAGGCACACATAGGCACACACAGACACACACATACATGTACACACAGATATACACAAAGGCACATACACAAAGACACACAAATAGACACAGACAAACAGACACAGGCACATATAAATAAGTACACACAGGCACATACAGACACACAGGTACTTGCATATACACAGCACATACAGATGTACATAGGAACATGCATACACATAGGCACACACAGACACGCACAGGAACACAGGCACACACAGACATACATAAGCACACATAGGCACATACCGACACACAGACACATAAGCACATAGACACACACACTGACACACCCAGGTACATACTGACACATATAGACACACATTAAAACACATAAGTGCACATAGGCACACACAGACACACAGAGACACACACAGGCATGTACCCTGAATCTTACTTATAGGTCTGCCCAGGCTGAAGGCTCTCTCTAGCCTTATTCTGATCCCAGCTCCAAATGCTTAATTCAAAGCATCTCTTCCCATTCCTATCCCCTCACAGGGCCCCATGGGGTGACTTCCTTGGGGTCTGGGAATAGCAGAACCCAAAGCTCTGGACCCTCAGCCATGCAGCCTGGCCACCCTTTCCGAGAGCACACCAGTGGGACACCATCATGCCCCACATCAATGCTCTCATACACCTGGGCTCAAAGTTGAAGATAGGAAAGGGCACTGCAGGGTGGGGCCCCAATAGCATCCAGTTTTTTTTCCCAAACCTTAAGCAAACTGTTCAATTTATTCACTTTGTTAATTCGCCCATTTATTTTCTCAGGCACCGTATAGAAATGCTCACTGGGTGTCAGGTCTGAGCCAGGCGCTCAGTACAGAGGCTGGATGGAGACAGAGCTCATACACATACAGATCAGGGCCCTGCCCTGTTCCCCTGCGTAGTCCAGTGCCTAAATGGCACCTGTGCGCGGTGGTCACTCCTGAAAATCCTGAACAGAGGAGTGAATGAAGAGCCAGTGAATGATGAACAAATGCACAGAAACAATACAGACTAGAAGGTAATCAGTGAAGTTGTCAGCCTCCTCATCATAGCAACAGTTAAGACCAGAGATTCCAGCTGCAAAGATCCCGGCAGAGTCTGCCAGAGCTGGAATCCAGAGACTCCCACTTCCCTTGGCCTGTGTCCAGGCTCTGGATGGGCCACAGAGCTGTGTGCAGGGAGCTAGGCTGAGTGTTCACTGTGTCAATGCCAGCAAAGTGCTTAGGGCCGTGTTGGCATTTAGAACTTTGCACACATTCAGCCTGTGAAATAGCTGTTCCCTGTGTCCTTGTCTCATCCAAAATTCAGAACAGCTTCCCCAAGAAGGTGTGACCTCCTCCCCCAACCCTACCCCCGCCACCCCCGTCTTGCACACCTGTGAAGATGGAGTCTCAGAGAGATCAAGCACCACAGTCAAGGGCAGAGCAAGGCTTTGCCTGCAGGGAGCCTTCCAGTTTCAGAGCCCTCCGCCGAGACTTGTCAGCTGAACCCACTGGCCTCTTCTGGGGGTCCCAGTCCACACAGTCGCCACGGCTCAGGCTTGTAGATTCATCCTGATGATGGTCAGGGCAGCACCCATACTTCACAGTGTCCCCAGCCTTTCTTCCACACAGCTGGGTTTCCAATTCCTGGGGCTGTGTGCATGCCCTGTTGACCACTGGAGGAGTCCCAGATGAGAAAGGCTGAGGCATCGGCTCAGGTCTCTGAGCAGATGTGTGAGGGAGGCCTGGGTGCTGACTTCCGGGTATGTCTATGGCTGTTCCTGCCCATGGGCTTTCTGGGAGGGTCGTAGAGAGATCTGCCTGAGGGAGGCACAGTCTGGCAAGACAAGGACTGTGCAGTGGGACCTTGGTGGGAGGCCCTCCCCTCCAGGTGCCCCAGATCCATTCCCCAAGTCCTACATCTGGTTCTGGTGCCAAGATTCTCCAGATTCAACTCCTGGTCCCACCTCTGAGTTCGATGGTCACTAGTGGGTGGGTGGTAGACAGTGGCATTTGGTATTTATCTCCTTCTCTGTAGGAAACCCATGTCACCAACTCTGCCTCTGAAACATTCTCCAAACTTGCTTCTCCCACACAGAAGACATTTTAATTACCCCAGCTGCCATTATCAGTCCCAGCCAGCTTTGAGCCATTCCCAGATAACCCCGCGTTAATCAGCCCCAGCTGAGCCCCTGGTACATGTCATGTGTAGGTAAAAGCCTGGAGGTGAAAAAAAGGAATTATAATAAATTAATAGATAAGCAATCACAATTAATGCCACTTCCCGGCAATAACAGTTATATCATGGGAAAGATATTTTCATCTGTCATTCCTTAAGGCGATGTTTTCCGAGCTTCAGCTTCTATCCAGTCAGACCCATGGGGTGCTAATGAATTAGTCTATTATGTTATGCTGAATGTTTCTAAAAGGTCCCTCGTCGATACTGAATTCAGTGTGTCAACATTTGGCATCGAGAACAGCAACTTTCTGCCAAGCAGCAAAGGCTTCACACAGTTCACCGTGTACAGCACTTGGGGTCTCTGCCCGGGGCAGTTTGGGCAAATAATAAGAGGAGGACAGAGTGGCCTCTGCCAGCTCCCTGTTGTTCCTGTCTTCACAATAGGAATTGGGGTGCCCCAAGCCCCCCAATCCTGCAGCGATGCCTGGGCTCTCAGTGGCAGGGGAAAAGGTCCCGGCTCTGAGCCACCCACCCGACCACCCCTCTTCCCTTGGCTTGGCTGGGGTCAGCAGCACTGCAGATGGAGGGGTTGTGTGGATGGCACCCACACCCACATGGGTCTGCTCTCTGTGGCCTGGGACCCTCTGGGCCCCGAAGACTGGCCCAGGAACAGAGGTCCAAGAAGGCAAATGCTTTGGCTCCTTTGAGGCATTAGTAGAGGCAGCATTGAGTCTCACCCCATCCAGGGCCAGTGGCTCTTCCTTGGGCCCAGCCTTCCAGATTCGTGCCCAGACTCTGCCCATGAAAAGTCCCTCCTTCTCCCCAGACCCAGCTCCTTCAAAGATAGCTGCTGGAAGACCTCCCATTTCAGAAGGCTCAATTCCCTGAGCCTCCATCCCAGGAAAAGTGCAGAACTGGCCTCCTGGAAGAGTTCCCCAATACTGAAGCATGTGGGGCCCGAGTCAGTTCCACCTTCTTATCTCTAAGCCTTATGTACCCCACAGAAGGTCAGTCAGCTGACTGAGTTCAGTCTTTCAACCGAAGGAGTGTTTGGCCCAGATGCTCATAGAAGAGACAGAGGTAGTAGTCACAGACAGTTATCAGCGGGGTGACATTGAAAAGGTCTAGGATAAGAGCAGAAGTGCTCTGCCCTGTCATTCTTGCATGGAGTAGTAGTCAAGGGAAGCTTCCCGGAGGCAGTGACCTTTGAGCTAATTCTCAAAAGAATAACCCACTCATCAAGGTTGAGATGGCCATCCGGCAGAGGGGGCACAGGGAAGATCTAGGAGAAAGGGGCACAAAACACAGGCAGTTTTCCTAGAGCAAAATGCAAGCAGGAAGGAACGTGATGCTGGAGGGGAGGAGGAAAGGGCACTTAGTCCTGAGAAGCCAGCAGAAACCTCTGCTGGAAGCTGAGCCTGGAGGAACAGTTGGGCAGTGTTCATCAGGGGCACCTCTCAGGGTGCTGTGGGGAGGGCAACCTTCCTGGGGCCTGGGCAGTGTTCCTAGCTGCCTCTGACATGGGGTACTAACCCCTTCGAAAGGCAGGTAAGCACTGACTGGGCTGACTGAGGACTCCTCACGACCATCTTCATATTGCAAGGGGGGGGGAGGGAAGGCGGGAAGGACCCTATTCCTGACACCCTGCCCCTCCTACAACCCCCAAACCCTCAACTGTGACCAGGAACTGCTGCGCCAGCTACCAGACAGGTAGTGTTGAACACCTGAGTGTTCATCAGTCACCTGACTTCCAGCCTGACTCTGTGTACATCGCTCACCCCTCTGTTCCATGCCACAGCCCTATACAACAGGATACAGTCCATGGCCTGACCTCATGGTTGGTCAATGCTGCTAGCCATAGCTGCGGCCACCTCCCTAAGCCGTGCTGGGCGGAGTGTGGTGAGAGAGGCCTTCAGTCAACACCTCTTCCAAGGAGTCCTCCCTCCTCCCAGTGAGTCCCCCCTCCCAGTTAGTTCTCCCTCCTCCCAGTGAGTCCTCCCCTCATAGTGAGTTCTCCCTTCCCAATTAGTCCTCCTTCCTCCCATTGAGTCCTCCCCTCCCAGTGATCCATCCCCTCCCAATGAGTCCTCTCTCCTCCCAGTGAATGCTCCCCTCCAAGTGAGTCCTCCCAGTGAGTCCTTCCTTCCCAGTGAGCCATCCCCTCCCAGTGAGTCCTCCTTCCTCCCAGTGAATGCTCCCCTCCAAGTGAGTCCTTCCATTGAGTCCTCCTCCCAATGAGTCCTCCCTCCTCCCAGTGAGCCATCCCCCTCAGTGAGTCCTCTCTCCTCCCAGTGAAGGCTCCCCTCTAAGTGAGTCTTCCCTTTCTCCAGTGAGTTCTCCCCACTTCCATTGAGCCCTCCCTCATTCCACAAGCCCTTTCAATGATCAGCGATCCCCCCCTGGAATGATTCCTCCTCCTGCCCCTCCCTCATTGCACGTGGATCCCATCTAAGCTCAGACCCCTTTCTGCGTGTCTCCATTTGGGGGTAATAGCTCATTCGTGGCTCTCAAAGCCAGGTTAGCATCCCCTCCCTAGACTCCATGTAGCTAATATGTCCCCCAGAGACCCAAAGAAAATTCTGACATATGTCTTGTGTTTGACAACCACTGAAGACACAAACCAGGGAATTTGAATGAAACAGTGGTGGGAGGCACCAACAAGGGGTGTGTGTGTGGTGGCGGGGCCAATCCAGGTGTGTAGGCTTGCACATGTGGGAATTCGCCCACCGTGGCATAGTGACCCAAGACAAGGTGCCATGTGGTGGCTCTGTATGTGGGCTCAGGAGAAGGGCTCACAGTCAGGGTCCATAGGCACAGTGAGGCCTCCCTGCCCCGTGGGCATGAGCCTGGGTGCAAGTTCAGTTGCTCAGCCTTGGTCAGTTCGCCTACCCCCCTTCTTCTCTTAGAGGGGCAGATAGTGGAAGACTCACTTCCTGGTGGGAAGGGCAGCTCATCTGCTCCACATGGTAGCTAAGCAGATGCCCCCAGTTCCCACTAAGATCTACTCCATGGAGATACCCTTTGGTCACCTCAGTGGGAACCCCCATCAACTAGAGACCCTTGACCCCCCTCCCACCCAGCCCCTTCCCCATCCCAGATCAGAACTATGTTTTTCTGGGCAGGGCGGAACTAAGCTTTCTCATTCAAGTGTGTTTCCCTACATAGCATCTACCAGAAGGAGCCTGCTTGGGGGTGCGGGAGGGACAGGGGATCAGTGCCCATCAGGAACGTGTCTGAGACCAGAGGAGACAGTGCAGTATGGAAGAGCAGCTTCCGGGGCCCACGCCTGTGTCCCTGTTTCCCGGGAGCCTGAAACCAGTCCGAGAAAGGTCTGTGCTGAGCCCCACAGCCAAGGAGTGGGCATGGCAGAGTGCCACCACTGTCTCCCAGAGTCACAGGATCCGGAGAGTGTGCAGGGGTGGGGGGCAGGGGAGCGGCATCTCGGGAAGGGCAGTGTGGGGCAAGTATTAGGTGACGAGGCTCAGACAGGGACCCAAGGACTCAGTTTCCCCACAGAGGAGTGCGACCAGTTGACGGCCAGTGTCTGTCAGTGTCTTTGCTCAAGAAGTGCCAGCACAGAGATGTGATGTGGTGGTGGACGGGGGGGGGGGGGGGGGGGACCCTGCGCTGTGCCCAGTGAGCTGCCAGACTCCAGGTGCATAGCAGGTGGGGATGGGGTGGAGGGGCAGAACACAGCAATCACCGCAAAGCCCCAGGCCCAGATCCGCGCCCTGGACCACACCGAGCATCGTCTGCTCTTGGCCCCTGAGTCTGGGCCTTTCCCCAGTGCTGGGCAGTGGAGTGAAACAGGAGTAGGAGCCTGGGGTGTGGCGTGCGCCTGGATGCGCCTGGGACCCCCGTCCCCTCCAAGGCACTGGCTGTCCTCTGCTAGCCTGTTTCCAAGTCAGGGTTGCTCTTTTCTTGCTCCTGCTCACCGGTGACCCCCACTCCTTACACACATTTCTCCTCTCAGCTTCGAGGATGACTTCCCCCAGCCCACCACCCCCCCGCCTGCCAGTCTGCCGATGGCAATCACCCCCTTCCCCTCAGCAGGTGCTGCCCCAGGCATTCAGACCACTTCCTGCCCTAGGCTGAGCCTGGACAGGACCTGGACAGACAGACTGACCTTCCTGCTGCTGCAGGAGGCCTAGGGAAGGAGGGCGGGGATCCTTGAAACACGTCCCTTGGGTGTCAAGTTCTCCCTCCCGCATCCTCTGAGCAAGTTGGACACACCCAAACCCAGAGCCCTTTGTCACCCTGGCCTCTCCTGTGAAGGACAGACCACTGTGAGCCCACCACGCTCCTGGGTTGTTGGGGGCAGGACTGACTCTTGAGTGCTCTAAAGGCACCACCACCCCCTTGTTGCAGAGGAAGAAACAGACTGAGCCGGGGGCTCTGCAGTGAGGTGCTGGCCTTAGACAGCACTAGTCAGGAGGCTCTTGGGGATCCCAGCCTCTCCTTGGGGAAGCTCCTTCCTGCGACACTCCCTCCTGAGCCTCCCTGCAAGTTGCGGGGTAGCAGCCTGGGTCCAGCAGGGCACCCTTCTTCTCACACCCCCTCCTCTGCCCAGGATCTCTATGCCCTGGACCTGGAGCCCTACCGCTACTCGGGGGTGAACCTGACTGGCTTCCGCATCCTCAACGTGGACAACCCCCACGTCTCGGCCATCGTGGAGAAGTGGTCCATGGAGAGGCTGCAGGCGGCACCCCGTGCTGAGTCCGGCCTGCTGGACGGGGTGATGATGGTATGGCAGCCAGCAGCCCCACGGGGCTCTCCTTGCCCTCCCTCTCCCTCCCCTCACCCCTTCCTGCTCTCTGCCCTCTTCCCTCTGTTTCTTCTTCCCTTCCTTTCACCCTCCCCCACCTCCTTCCTTCCTGCCTCTCACCACTGGTCAAGCGAGGGGCCAGATTACAAAGGAACCAGGCCTTAGACCCCCTCCCCAGGCCCCCTGCAGCACGCAGCCATGTGGGGACAATTAGAGGGCTCTAGACTCTGAATCCTGGGCAGGTGTGTCTTCCTTCAGTGGCCGAAGGAAGGAGTGGGTGTGGACAGGGGCCAGGGCAAAAGGGACTGGGGGGGGATGGAGGCGAGGCTGCAGTGGGGGAGGGTCACTGACCCCAGCCTGGCCCACGTCTCTCTGGGCACACAGTCCCCACCCCAAGCCTTCCCATGCCAGGACGCCACGTGGGGAGGGAGGCAGTGGACCCAGAGCACCCCAACAGGCCGCTCCCATTCCAGACTGACGCAGCCCTGCTGTACGACGCTGTCCACATCGTGTCCGTGTGCTACCAGCGTGCGCCCCAGATGACCGTCAACTCCCTGCAGTGCCACCGGCACAAGGCCTGGCGCTTCGGTGGCCGCTTCATGAACTTCATCAAGGAGGTGAGAACAACACCCCCGCCTCGTCCCTCTGCAACCCCAAAGGCCGGCTTGGAGCATCATGGGATTCTCACATTTCACAGAACTGGGCATGGGCTCGTGGCCCTCCATGCCCTGGGCCCAGTTTCCCGGGTGAGAGCAGACTCAGGGGGACCCGGGTATTGAGAGACGGAGTCGGTGCCTCCCTCAGCCGTCAGACGGGCGGACGTGTGGCCTCCTGGGTGGGCCAAGCTCAGCACCAGAACTGGGAGGCTCGGGCCAGCAGCCAACCCTGAGTGCTCTGCAGGGTGCCCACAGGGGCCCGGCTCTCCTGGTGCCGTGGCAGCTGTGGCAAAGCCACTCCAAGGAGAAACCAATGCAGTGCCGGGAGTGAGCAGTGCAGGAGCTCCGACCTGCCCTCTGGGGAAGGTGAGGGCACTTTCCATGGCCCAGGATGAGGTGATGATGGAAGCAGCTAGGGAGGAGGGCTGGGAGGCTGGGGAGCGGGGGGCGGGCTCTGAGCACCTGTCCCAGAGGAAACCTGGGGAGGAGGTGAGGGCAGGGTTAGCCAGCACCCAGGACACAGCCCTGTGCGGAAGGGATGTGGAAGGGGCAGTCCCAGGAGGGCAATGAAGCGGCTGCCTGGGGAATCGAATCGGGGTGTGTATACCGCAGCTGACATGCAGCCTGCCGGGTGCCAGACACCGCCCCAGGATGAATGGAGGGGTCTGTGCACCCCCAAACCACAGCTGGGAGGGGCAGACAGTCACAGGTAGGGCCGGGGCACCTGTGGGCACAGGAACAGAAGGAGGCTTTCCCAGAGTCCTGAGTCCACCCGATGCTTGGGCCAAGGCCGTGCTGTGCCCCTGTGTTCCGGAGCACGCCAGCGCGATGGGGCAGAGGCAGGTCTTAGAGACAGCGTCCGCACCTCTGGTGCTCTTGGCTTTGCTTCTTCACGGCAGTCCTGGGCATGCACGAGGGAGCGGGCTTCCTGCAGCACTGCACCCTCTAGAGGGAGGGGTGCTGTCTGAGATGCTCGGGCTCAGAATGCCCCCCTGCAAATCGCATTGGGCGCCGATTGCAGGTGCCCTAAGGAAGGAGCAGAAGGTTGGGGTGTCATTGATCACCCGCTAATGTGCCTGCCACCCCGGCAGCCTCCAGGGGGCTGACAAGTGAAGGTAAACCATACCCACTTCTCAGCTGTGTGACCTAAAGCAAGCAGCTGGGCCTCTCTGGTCCTCTGCACCACCTCCTCACCCTGGAGGTGACAATAGGGCTGTTAGAGATCACAAGCCCTGTGGGGAAAGAGGGGCACTCCGGATCCCACGTGGGGAAAGAGGGGCACTCCGGATCCCACTAGGCACAGAGCGAGCAACTCTGACCTGGTTCTTTGTGTTCCCTGGAAAAGAGAATGTTCAGGCCACACAGATTTGGGGTCATTCCCCTGTGTGGCCTGGGGATGCTCAAAGCTCTGGGTAACACCTAGAGGGGAGCACACTCATCACTGGCCTGGAAAGGGGACCCCCTTCCTCCTCCAGGGCCCAGCAGCCAGTTGGAACTGCTACCCCACCGTCCATGCTGGCCCCGGCCCGGGAACAGCCCTGCCCACTCAGACCCTCATGGAACCTTTCAGAAACATCTTCGGGGCTGGGAAGGTGGCCTGGCGGTCAGCACTTGCAGGTCTGAGGCCCTGGGTTCCAGCTCCAACTGGAAAAGGAAAGCATTTGAAGGTGCAGGGGATGGGTCCCTGGTCCAGCGGTCAGGCCCAAGGTTCCCGTGTCGGCCACATCTGTCCCTGTGACCACTTGCAGACTGCCCAATCTCCCCACCTGACTGCGTGACAGTGAATCATTTTAAAGACGTGGCATTTCTGAGAAGAGCTGGAAATACCAGGCCGGAGTTCAGCGCGCGGGAAGCATCTTTCATTTAGCGAGTCCTGAGCGGCGGCTGGAGGGGCGGGCGGGCGAGGGAAATGTCACCAGAGGAGCGACGCGCTGCCTGCTGCCCTGGCCAGCCCTGCCCACCGCCCACCGGGGCCGGCACCTGCTGGCATTTCATTCCTGGAGCTGACAGGGAGGAAGGCTGCACTGTGGGCCGGTTTGAAGGCTCCTGCTGTGATTTCCCTGGGGGCCTGGAGAGAGCCTCGGGGAAAGAGGGGGCCGAGGGGGGGCAGCAGAGGGCGGGGTGCGGGCCGGTGTGGGGAACTCGCTCACTGCACGCCCCAGCCCTCCCCGGCAGGCATCAGAACTGGCTCTTCCATGCTGCACCTGCATAGAGACTGCCCTGGGCCCTGCATCCCATTCCTGGGGACCACCCTAGTTGGTCTCTTCAAGCCCCCATGCCTCTGACCATAAATGGGGGTGATTCCTCCTGGCAGGGTTGTACCTCTGGGCCCTGACCCTGTGGCCTCCCCCATCTCCAAAGGAAGGGAGCAATGGGGGCCACAGAGATGGCACAGGGGTTAGAGCATGGCCTTACATGCCACTGGTTCCCCTTCTGTTCCCTCACTTCCTGCTCCCCTGGGGTACCATGTGTGGTCCTGGAAGCTGCGACTACCACCCGATGCAGCCTGGGTGGTTCCTTGAGCCATAGGGCCTGAGCAGCATTGCATCACCTGCTGCCCCATTGGCTAAGAGTTGATGGGAGCAGGCAGGAGCCATCAAACAGCGGGGAGGATGCTGGCCTTGCACGTGGCCAACCTGGGTTTGATCCCCAGCATCCCATATGGTTCCCTGAGCAATGCCAGGAGTGATCCCTGAGCATAGAGCCAAGTATATGTCCTGAGCATCACTGGGTGTGGCCCCCTGGACAGAAAAGAATTGCTGGGAGAGTCCCTGCACCCTTGAGTACTGCTAATCCCCCATCCCCACCCTGACACACACACACACACACACACACACACACACACACACACACACACTCCACAAAGAAATGGCATTAGGTCACATTTTTTGTCGGGGTCACCAGCAGTGTTGGCCAGGGGAGCTATTTCCAGCCCTGTGCAGCCCAGCAGTGTGGACCAAGGTGTTGTACCTGGGCCTGGCATGTAGTGTAACTCAAGCTGATGTGATGGTGCAGGGCCCAACTGTGTGGGGGCCACCGGGTCGTATCCTAGAGGCTCAGGGGGCCACATGTGCCAGGGCCACACTCAGGGTCTGGCCCGGGCTGGGCATGTGCTCTACCATTTGAACTCACCCCTACCCCAGGTACCTTTGAACCTCTGTGAATAGTAAGTTTGATTGTACTTTGACTGGCTCAAGAAAACATGTGTGCTAAACCCACATCCTGTCCACTTTGGTTTTATACCCTCCTGGGTCCTCACGGCTGCCTCCCATCTGGGCTAGCTCCTCAATTTGTCCATCTCCATATGTTTCCAGTAAGTTTGATTGTACTTTGACTGGCTCAAGAAAACATAAGGTTTGTGCTAAGCCCCAAGTTGAAACCCTTACATAATGCACCTAACTGAAAAGCTGTATTTAAATTCGGCTGTTCATTGTCTTTTCAATTCTATCACTTTCCTACTTAATGCGTTTTTTTTTTTCTATCACGGGGGGGGGGGGGGGGGGGGGGGGAGGGGGGAGGTGATTTGGGTGGGCCTGGGGGCTAGTGAAGGCCTATACTTGTGGTTAGTTTGTGAATGTCAGCATGGGGAGGGGCCCTGCAGCTGGGAAGGGGGACGGGTGCTTGAGACTCTGCAGGGGGTCCTGACTTGAGTGTGACAAGGAAGTGAAGTGGTCAGGACGTCCACCGCTGCCTCCTCCCAGTACCCCAGTCATCCCTCTCATGTGGCTCCAAGACATGGCACGTCATAACCACGTCATCCCCTTCTGGCCACTTTCTTCCCAAGACCCCCCGACCGCACAAGCTCACTCTTCTGGCGCATGGACATCTACTGTGTGCTGGCTGTACCCTGAGTCCTTGGGGCAGAGAGAGCCTAACAGACTGGGTGGGTGGGGGACATGCCGGGTAGCCCCGGCTCCAGTTTGGTTCTGCTTCCTATTCCTTCCATGATCTGGGGTGGCTTGTGGCCCCCTCCCAGCCTGCCTCCTACCCTGTGCCATGGCAGCAGGGCTGCACAGAGCTCTATCACCAACTCGGTGGGGTCTGAAGGCCAGGATGGTGGCAGCAATTCAGTGGCAGGACACAGTGGGGAAGCGGTTCAGGACACTTTGTGTACCCGTGCTGGAAAGGTTCTGTTGATGGAAATGGGCAGGTGCCCAGATAGGAGACCATCTCAATGTGTCAACCCCAGCTCCAGAAGCTCCTGCCCTTCTAGTTTGGGTTCTGTGCCTTGCCCTGCACCTGTGCTCACCCCACACCCCATCTCTCTCGGGTCAGGGGCACTAAGGCAGGAGCCACCGCTGACCACAGGCTCAGCCTGTCCCAGGTACTGTTCTAAGTGCCTGGGGGAGTAGGGAGCCTCCACTGGTAATTATCAGCCAGCCTGGCTGGCGGGTCAATGCAGGACCCCAAGGACGAGGTGTTACCGGGGTCCTGCAGGGCCTCAGCAGTGTTGTGGCCCCCCAGGGCTGACCCAGCAATGTTCAGGGGATCCCGTGGTACAGAAGGTCAGACCCGCTTTGGGTGTGTGCAGAACAAGAGCCCTAACTGCTGGATCATCTCTTAATCCCTGCCTTCCCTCCTGTTTTGTAACAATTTCTGTGACTTATTTTTCCCCTCCACATTTCGGGTGCTTATCGTTAAGTTCTATTTTATAGACAAGGAAACTGAGAAAGAGAGGTGAAATAAAATCCCTGCGGCCACACACAGTCAACTCTGCGGGCATTCAGCACCCTGATCCCAGAGTTCTTATCAGGACATGTCTGGAACTGAGTGGGGGGTCAGGCCAGCTTTCGGGGGCGCCTCTCAGGGTCTCTTTCACAGCCAGGCAGACCTGGCCCCTGAGCTTTCTGACCTTGGCATTGTGGCTTGCCCTGGCTGTGCTGGTCTCCTTCCTCACCCCCCTTCGGGGATCTGACACAAGTCCCCCTTCTCCTGGCTTCGAGGCGGGGGCTCATTTGAGCGCATCCGAGATCGATGTTATACACGAGAGGTGCAAGTGTAAAGCTGGCTAAAGAGCATAATAGAATTTATGGAAATCGCTGGCTCGCACCATAGCCCGAGCAATGATGGAGGTGATTATTAATTAATCATGGTCTTGGGGGAACAGTATCAGTGCAAGGAGTAATTAAAATGAAGCATTGTACAGTTGTACCGAATGATGATTTATGAGCCTGAGGAATTGCCTGTCTGCCCTCTCCCCTCCGGCAGGCTCAGTGGGAAGGATTAACTGGACGGATTGTTTTCAACAAAACCAGTGGCTTACGCACGGATTTCGATCTGGACATCATCAGCCTGAAGGAGGACGGCCTGGAGAAGGTGCGTGGGCTCTGGAGAGGGAGGCAGGCACGGGGCAGGCTGCAGCAGTAAACAAGACCCACCCCAGGCAGGGGTGTTGGGGAGAGGGTCCAGGGTGTGAACTGACCCGTGGAGCCAGGCCTTGATCCTGGAGAAGACATGAAGGCCAGGTCAGACTGAAGGGGCAGAACCCAGGGGTACACTCCCAGCCGACCCCAGACCAACCACTGTGACCCAACCTGGGGAGGAATGAGAGGCCGGTGGGGTGGGCAGAGGTTCTACTGTGTGGGGTGTGCTCACCCCATGGAGGCATGCAGGCAGACCAGGCGCCACGCATCAGTGTATGCAGGCATGGGCCAGTCTGACCTAGGAGAGAGGATGCAGTGTGTTGGGGTGGGGGGGTTCTGAAGGCCTCAGTGGAACTTTCTAAGTCCTCCATGTTTTCTGGGGAGGTTGGGTGAGGAGAGCACCTGACTGGGGGGTCTGGAGTCTCCTCTTTGGAATCCACGAAATGTTTGTTACAGGGCCTGGGAGCTTGTGGCCTTTCCTGCCAGAATGAACTTCACAGCTGAGAATAGGGGTTCAATGGGCCCTTGTTTCTCGGCATCCCCTGGAACACACATTCTCCCCCTGCAGGTAGGTGCTCAGAGCACCTCCCCACCCCTGGGAGTGGGTGTCTAACATCAAAGACAGGAGGGTCCACCCATCACCTCTCCTGCCCTGCTGGCTCAGGCCTCTTCCTTGGATTTTTCTCAACACCCTGAGCTGGTCAGCCAGGGCCTCCATTCAAGCCATCCCACCATAGAGCACCCCCTGATCATCCTTCTCAAGCACAGCTCTCTCCGCTCAGACATGGCTCCCGACCCTCACTTCTTAGGATCTCTGAGAAAATCTCCAACCTGCCTTCCAGGCCTAACCTCCACTCTTCCCCACACCTGATCACCCCCGCCACACCTCCCACCTGGTACCGTGGGTACAAACAACCATAAGGAATAGGCACTGACTCTGCTACACCTGGACAAAGGTTGTCAGAGGCTCCTGGCTGCTGCTCCTGGCCTGGAGACCAGGCGTGTCTGCTGCTGGGCATTTGGTCCAACTGTCCTTCCCCACAGCACATGAGGACACCAGGGCAGGCGTCTCAGGAGAATCTTTCTGGCGAGGCTTCTGTTGTTGGTTCAGCCGCTGGACCACTGTTTACCCGATGCCCCCTAGATCCCCCACCGAGGATTGCTATGGGGCCCCTCGTGATGTGCTTGTCCCTGAACTCAGCCCACTTGAGAGAAGAGCCCTCGAACGCCGCTTCTCTTGGTTCCGGGAATCCACGTAGACCGAGCCGCCAAACCCCCACGCTCGGCCACCGTGCTGCCCGCTTCCTGCCTTGCTTGCTGCGGCCAACTCCAGCCAGTGGCTTTGGGAGGATTAAGGCCGCATTACCCGGCCTAATTACATGTCCCCCTGCTATCTGCTCTGCACAGCTCTCTTAATGGCATGTTTGCACTTGGCCTCTCTGTTTAATTGATTAAGCTTCCTCAGTACCCCCCAGCTGGGCCAAGTGAAGTGGGCTGCCAGAACCTTTCATGAGACACAGGAATGTGATGGGGACCACCCTGGGTAGAGTGGGGTCCCAAGGGCACTGCTCAGAACACTCAGGGTTTACATCTGATTGCTTCCTGGGAGTCTTGGGTCTGAGAGCCACCAGACAGACATCCTGTCCCCTCAGCAAGGAGGATGCTGACTTAACAGAAGTCACGCAAACTGCCTGCAAGCCAGAGATATCCAAGGCCCCAGTGAGGGCCACCCACGTTTGTTCAGTGGGCCCCCAGACTCCTCAACACCAGCCTATGATGACCCCTGAGTCCTCTTGGTCACTCAGTCAACTGGTGGTCAGAGATCCTCCTGGCCCAGACCTGCCAGGAGTGAGCCCTGGGCCGGGCCCCAGTGAGTGAGCTGCTGTGTACCTGGAGTTTCCCCTAGCCGTGGGTGCCCTTCGGGCTTGGTGTGACTGTGACGGTGTCCTAGGGCAGGACCCCCGATGCTCCCCAGCCAACCTCTCTCCTGCATTTTCTCCTCCTGTCTTGGCAACAAGTGGGCATGCAGCAGCTGGACCCTGGGCTCTTTGTGTCCTCGGGAAGGAGGGAGTGACCCTTAGAGTGGCAAGCCATATGTGGGGAGAACAAGGAGCCATGAACTCAGCCTCCCTGTCTATCTGTCTGTCTGTCCCACAGGTCGGGGTGTGGAGTCCTGCTGATGGTCTCAACATCACGGAGGTTGCTAAGGGCCGCGGCCCCAATGTCACCGACTCGCTGACCAACCGGTCACTCATTGTCACCACCTTGCTGGTAAGAGCCGGTGGCTGGGCCCACCCCCATGCAAAGCCTTTAGCAAGATGTCTGGGAGGCGGGGTGGGATGCTCTGTAGGAAGTGGGGACATTCAGGAGGTGTTCAGAGAGCAGGAGGGGCAAAGTCCCAGCCCTCCTCCACTTCCCTGCAGCCCCCAGCCTGGTCAGCACACTTCTTCTAACCGAGCGGACCCCAGAAATGGCTCCCCAGTCTCCTGGGCCCCCGCAGCACCAAGCCGCTGGTCTCTATGACCTCCCCATACATCCCTCCTGGAGGCCGCCCAGGTATCCAATGGCTCAGCACAGACTCTGCCCCAGGGGGTGGGGACCAGCTGGTCACTCTGCCCAGGGGATTCTGACCCAAGGGCCTTCAAGGATGCTTGGGCTTGGCCTGGTGGCATCTCCTTGGGAGACATGCCTGAGGGTCTCCAGAGCAGAGGAGCCCCTGGTAGTGGTGACCAGGTACATCAGGGAGCTACTGAAGGGAACCGGGTCTGCGTGTCACCAAGCTTGGCTCTTCTTGGGGGCCTGGGTGAGACTCGCGCTGCTGCTCCTGCCAGAGCCAGCTCGGCCAAGCCATACTGGTGCTGCCAGACCCTCCTGCTCCTGAAACCAAGGCGTTGGCTCAGGGGCCGGTAGGTGGGTACTGTGGTGTACTCAGGTGGGGAGGTGCTCGCTGAACCCCATTCTCCAGGAATCTCCCTGTAACATGGGGGTGCCTGTCCCCAGGATGCAGAATGTTGAGCGAAGCCCATGGAGACCTACAGGTGCTTCTGGGAACTCTGCAGTGGAAAGCCTGACCCCTCTTTTAGGGTACCTTTCCCCAAAACCATACATCATAACTGCCTTTGTTATTGACCAACTTCTCATTAACTAAAATAATCTACCCAATAGCAGACTGTTAAAACTAGTAAGTCAAAACATCTCATCAGGAACAGGGGGAAAAACTGTAGAATAACCCCGTGGATTCTAAAGGAACACGTAAGAAGAATCCAGGACTGAGAGTATAGACTGGTGCCTGATGAATGGAATATTGCTGTGGGTAGAGATAAAGACGGCAAAGAGAACAAAATAAAAGGCTAAAGGGAAAATAATAGAGAAGGATGGAAATAAATGGATGAGATGAAAAGGAAAGCCATCAGAGAAGGGATGAAAAATTAAATAATTAACAGCTCTGGCTAGACAAGGTGAAAAAAATGTAAAATGTCAGAAAGCAAAGGATAAAAGTGTGACAAAGCTAAAATATAAAAGGGTAAAAATAAAATAGTAAAAGGGTGGTAAAAGATTAAAAGCAGAGCTGCATAAAATGTGAGGTATAAATAAAACACTTTCACAAGAGGAGATTTAACCAAGGTGAAACTGATCAGCGCTCGGAGATTAGGAGAGATGATGGGACGTGCTGACGTGATGATGGCCCCAACCGGAAGAGGCCAGGAGAGGCCAGGAGAGGCAAGTGACCAAAAGGAGGTGGAGTGCATGGCCTGGCACTGCCCAGGGCTCTGTGCTAGATGGAGGGCAGGGTGGCATCCCAGGACAGACTTCCTCAGACTTGTCTCTATCCACAGAGGCAGGATCCAGAGATATCCCTGCCCTGGTGGCAACTTCCGGCCACTCTTCATTGCTCCCTCAGAGATCTGGCCCCCATGTCTGGCTAGCACTCAGGAACCCCCGGGCACAGGGAAGGGAAACCCCTTGTGATCCCGAAGTGTGACCAAGTCTGGTGAAGAGCACAGACTTTGGGGGCTGTGTTCTGGCTTTCCCCCTGGGCTGGGTGACCCTGAAACCATGCTTCACTGCTCTGTGCCTCAGTTTCCCTGTGGAAAAAGTGGGGATTGTACCTTCTCATTGGTGCTTTTGTCTGAATGATTAATGTCAGAGGCATGGAGACTGTTGCCGTCTCAGCAATAGCTGTGGTGGTTTCTGGGGTCCCAGTGCATTGCCTGCTCTGGGCACAGACAGAGCCCTGAACTGCACGGGAAAACCACCAGGTCACCCAGAAGAATGGGGGCCCTGAGTACTTAGCCCTTGAACGGGGAAGTCCTTAGCCTGCCCGGTGCTGCCTGAGTCCCAGACCCAGGTGTGGTTAATATCCAGTGTCCCTTTGTCCTTCCTGACTGGTCCCCAACAGTACGAGGGTCTGGGCCTCCCGAGTCCACCTGAACTCTAATCCCACTGTTACATGAAGCCCAGATCCCAGTCCTTCCCATACTGTGTCAAGGTTGAGGTCAACTCCTGCCCGCCCTCCCACACTGTCCTCTGCAATTGGACAGGTGCTTGATGCTTCCACAGTTCCTGCCAGCCACCTCAACCTATCATGTTCATGGTGGGTCACCTCACTGTCCTGCAATCTCTCCCCCTGGGGGACAGAAAAAGAAGCCCCTCTGTCCTAGAGGTGGGGTTGGGAGGGTGCTCTCTGCAGTGTCAGGCCTGACACTGTCCTGGGCTGTCCCGAGTGGGGATACCCATTCCCACACAGAGCCTGGTGCACGACGAAGACCTACAACTGGTCCAGCAGCTCTGAGGTGTTGGAAGTCTCAGTAAGGTCTTCCCGAACCCTGGGGTGCCCTCTAGTCACCCGATGTGGGGAGTCGCTCAGTCTGACCCAGCCCAGATGCTCTGGCAGGAAACCCAAGCCCAGACTTTCCGCCTGAATTCAGGGCCAGCACCTCCTGCCGAGAGCACTGGCCCCTGCCCGGCTGCAAGTGCGTTGTCAAGGCAACGGCACTTTGATTGACAGACAGGTACCAAGGATGGAGGTCAGGAGCATCCAACTGCTTTGGTTCCAGAGAACAGGACCTGCGGAGACACCCTGAGAGGGGCTCCTCCTCCTCCTCTTTCCACTCCGTGGGTCTGAGCGTAGCAGAGAGCAGCAGTGTTGCAGCTGCCCCACCCCAGTTCCCACCCTCAGGGTCGTTGCAAAGGTGCCTTCCTCAGTCGGGTCCAACAGGGGTACAGAGTCCCTGGCCCCTGAGTTGTGGGTGGGTGGGGGGCCTGTCCCATGCCAGGGCCAGAGGAGTTGGGCAGCCTGCCATTCCCCCTGCTTCCCTGCCCCCACCTAGCACTCCCTGGCCGGGCCCCAGCCTCTACTCAGCCTCGAGCTCATGAAACATTCATCCACCCAAACCTCAGCTCACACACCGAGAAAACAGCCGACTCGCTCCTGGGAGCCCCACGTTTGAAGGTTCAGGCTTCTCGGAGCTGCTGGAGTGAGCAGCGGCGTTGGCATGCAAGCAGGGATACATGTGGGTGTGGGCCTTGCGCCGGTGTCCGGACATGCATCAGTGGCTGGGTCTTTGCCCTGTGGACTTCATGACCCACATAGGCACCAGCACCAGGCAGGCGGAGCAGACAGCAGAAGAGGGAGAAACTGAGGAAGGTGGAGGCCCAGGCAGGGTGAGAACTGCAAAGCTGGCCCCAGTGGTAGTCTGTGAGGCAGGGCAAGTGAGGATGTGGGTCAGTCCTGCCCGAGTTCAAAGGCAAATTGGTTCTTCTGGTGCTTCCCCCGGCCGACTCCACACACCACACCCAACCCTGCTTTCTCTCTGGCATCAGTGATCAGACAGACACAAGACCAAGAACCCGGGCAAGGAAAAGCCAGAACCGGTTCTATTTCTGGACCCCTGTTTTCTGTGACTTGTTGAAGAGAAATATTACTGCTGCTCCTCCGGCTGCTCTCCCAGAGCTATAGGAGAGCGTGAAGTTAGGAAATTGAGGGCACCTTCACTGAGCAATCGATTAGCAGCCCAGAGAGCTTGTGAATTGGCTGTCTGGACATTTCCAGTAATAAATTGTGAAATAGTCCATGAATAAGTAGTTGGCGGAGTTCAGAATTACCCCCTAGGAAATGTTGCCGGGCTGCAGACACATCGCTAAGCCGAGCACCGTTTTAATGCTCTGGGCTTTGGCTGTTAAATATGTATGCCGTCCGCAGAGCACTTCCCGAAATTAATGGCATTTTACAGCTGCTCCGAAGGCAGCGTATTTATATGGAGATGTATAGATTCTGGGGCTGTGGTGGCTTCCCAAATGAAGTGCTAATTTTAGAGGCTAGGCCAGGGAGGGGCACACAGAGAGGGTCAGGAAGCGAGCTGGCTCGGGGACCTTTCCTGAAATGGCCTTTTTGCTGCCAATTCTCATTTTGTACCTTTGGTGCCGTTGGACGTTGGTCTTCTGGGCTGGAAGGCTAACTGCCCTGACGGGCCACTTGGCACCCAGGGAGAAGGAGGATATTCGTAATAATGATAGGAATCATCATCATAGTGGCAGCCTACCTTTGGCAGCTTCTTCTGCATTTGCTTTCCATAGATTTACTCATTTCATCCTCAAAATATTCCCGTGGGGAAGGTTTGAGTGTTAGCCCCATTCTACAGAAATAAGTAGGGCTTATCCGCGAATCTCTGTGTGGCCAGTTGCCCCAGGAATAAAGGCACCTTCTCTCCTGTTCTCCCCTGAAGTTCACCTCGGGGCCGCCATGTGTCATGGTGCTGGTTGTTCACTGCACAAGAGCATCCCCCAAGCAGAGGGCCCGTGACTGAAACCCAACCAGGGTCGCTCCCCAGGCCCCATGCCAGGGCTGCGGTAGCTTCTTCCCAGAGACAAACTTGCCCATGGACAGTGTCTGCCCCAGCCAATGTCCCCTTCCCTCCAGGGAGCCCCAACACCTTCCTGGCCAGCCTTAATTGTGGAAGTAAGGTCACGGGGAGTCACCCCAGGGTCACCCCTCGTGACCGGTCACTCGCTTTCCAGGAGTCAGACTCAGGCATGACTTTCTCAGACTCCTGGAGACGCGGCAGCCCCCAGCCCTTCTATGAGGAGGCCCAAGAGACTGCTGGATGTTTAGAATTATCCAAGCACAGGGAGGGGCTGAGATTCTGGGGACCGAGGCCGGCCAGAGAATGGGGACCCCCACTCAGCAGGGTTTGGCCAAGGCTGCCGTCGTGGGGTGGGCTCACTATGCCCAGGTCCTCGGATGCCCCTTTGCCAAGCCCTAACATCAGAGGATGAGCAGGGCAACTCCTGCGCTCCTCACACAGGTGTGTCTTGCCAGCTGGTGGTAACAGCCAAGGCACAGGGGGTGGGGGCTGAAACAGTTTGGGGAAGGTGAGAGGCTGAGGAAATGTGGGAGGGGACTTAGAGCCACCCCCTTGTCTCCCAGTGACCTTTCCACTCATGTGTTGCCCGAGGCAGCATGCAGCCTTTCCTGAGCCTCCATCTGTCTCCTTGTCCATAAAACCGTGACAGTGTCACCAGTCTTGTGTGTTTGTGAAACGAGTCTGACCCCCAGGTTGCTGTTTGCCATGGAGCCCGGTGAGATTGAGGCCAGAGCAGGCAGGACGCCCACCTCTCTCTCTCTCTGTACATCCCACCGGGGATGGACGTGGCCTGCGTCTTTCTGCAGCTCCCATTGCCTGGGGCTGCCACCCTCTGAGGGTGCCTGACCCCACAGCAAGGTGTTGGGGGCCCAGCCTGGTCTCTCTGGCTCTGGCTGAAGGCAGGGGCCGGGCCCTGTGGAGGGGGGCACTCTCCTCCCTGCTGGGCTGCCCCTGTCCTCACAGCCTCACCGGTCACTCCTCATGCTGGCATGTCCCTGAGCGGCCGCAGCTATTGGGACTTTCCTGGCAGAACCCAAGAGACACAGTCTGCCCTCAGGAACTGACATCAGAGACATGCTGGAGGTCCTGGAGGCCTTCACTGTGGGCTGGCAGCAACCCCCTGGGTCAGCTCTCCACAGATTCCCAGCCCACCTCTCTTTCAGTGGGGAGAGGTTGCACCCTTTTTTCTTTTCTTTTCTTTCCTTTTCTTTCCTTTTCTTTTCTTTTCTTTTCTTTTCTTTCCTTTCCTTTTTTCTTTTCCTTTTCCTCTTCTCCCTCCTCTCCTCTCCCCTCCTCTCCCTTCCTCTCCCCTTCTTTCCCCTCCTCTCCCCTTCTCTCCCCTCCTCTCCTCTTCTCTCCCCTCCTCTCCCCTCCTCTCCCTCCCTCTCCCCTCCTCTACTTTCCTCTTCGTCCTCTCCCCTCCTCTCCCTTACTCTTCCCTCCCCTCCTCTCCTTTCCCCTCCTCTTCCTCCCCTCCCTTCCCTCCCCCTCCCCTCCCCTCTCCTCCTCTCCCCTTCTCTCTTCTCCTCTCCCTCCCCTCCTCTCCTCCCCTCTCCTCCCCTCCTTTCCCCTCCCCTCCCCTTCCCTCCCCTCTTCCGTCCTCTCCTCTCCTCTCCTCTCCTCTCCTCTCCTCTCCTCTCCTCTCCTCTCCTCTCCTCTCCTCTCCTCTTTTTTTGTTGTGCCAAGGTGTGAATGCTGTTATCTTGGTAGGAGCAGGGGCAGTCCCAAGGCAGTGTGTCTGTCTCTGTGTCTCTTGGCCCTGCCACGGAGAACCTGATCCCCAGGAGGCCCCGCCCTGCCCATCACTGGGAGCACTCTCCTGAGCCACATCCGAGGCCAGGGAAGTCTTTTTAACATGTCCTGGGGATGCCAATGCTGCTGACCCAGGGACAGGCATTGAGACGTACTGGCCTGTGCACCTGGGACAGCAGGAATGGGTTACAGGTGTGACATCGGAGCTCACCCCCCATTCATCGCCCACTGGCTGTGTATTCTTCACAACCCTTCCTCAAGCAGGGCCCCCCGCCAGCATGTGGCCATTCGTGAGGCTCAGAGTTGGGTCTGGAAAAGGCCCTGCCCTCCCCTGACAGAGGAGAGCAGCCTTCTCTGACCCCCAAAATATGATTTCATTTTTATTGGGGGGCAATGTTTTGGGCTGCGCCTGGCTGCGCTCTGTGGCTCTTCCTGGCACTGTGCTCTGGGGTCTCTCCTAGAGGTGTTCAGGGGAGCAGGTGTGGGGCTGGGCTGGGGCTGGGGGTGGTCGGGTGCAACCTGTGCAAGATGGGTCCTGCCACACAGGCAGGGCCTCTGACCCAGCGCTCCGGCCCGGCCCCCAGACCCAGGCTCAGCCCCTGCCCCTTCCATCCCCGCAGGAGGAGCCCTTCGTCATGTTCCGGAAATCCGACCGGACCCTGTTCGGGAACGACCGGTTCGAGGGCTACTGCATCGACCTGCTGAAGGAGCTGGCGCACATCCTGGGCTTCTCCTACGAGATCCGGCTGGTGGAGGACGGCAAGTACGGGGCGCAGGACGACAAGGGCCAGTGGAACGGCATGATCAAGGAGCTCATCGACCACGTGAGTGGAGCCCAGTGGCGGGCAGGGCTGAGAGACACAGAGATGGCACAGGGCCGAGGGACAGCCTCGCCCCTGCCCTCCAGCTCCCAGCCACTCCCTTGCACCCAGGCACGTGAGCGCCAGCCCCTCTGGCTCAGGGCCCTTACTGCAACCGTGGAAGCTCGCTTTGGAGGGCTCCCCAGAACCCCTCTCTCTTCCCTCCATGAAGAGCCATTCGAGGCTGCCCCAACCATGTGGGTGAGGGCCCCGTGCCACGGCCTTCCCCTCAGAGTGGACAGAGAGGTCCCTGCGTCTCTGCCTTGAGCAACGTTGGCAACAGGGAGGAGGCAAGTGATGCTCGGGGCATGGTTGGCAGGAGGGCCTCTCCGGAGCTGGAAGGCGCTGAGGAGCCATCTTGGGGGCTTTGAGGCAGAGGAGCAGATGGGACTGGGGGCACAGGGGCCAAGAGGGAGGAAAGCTATTGTCAGGGGATCCCCCAGTTGGTGCTCAAGACCTGACCCCTTCATGGACCGTGAACAAACAGGGCTGGCCCCGGCCTCCTAGTAGATGGCGTTCAGTGTCCTTCTGCAGGGAGCCGCAGCTTCGGGCCTCGGCCCACAAGTTTGCGGGGCAACAAGCACACAAGAGCGGAAGGCAGGCGGTGGTGCCAAGGCTGAGGGCCTGGCCTCAGCTTTGACCCCTGATGGATGCAACCTGGAAAATGCAGTGACCCGGAAGAGTCTCAGTGCCTCACTTCTAGCAGCTGCCGAGGGCCCATGGTCGAGGGGAAAAGCAGGAAGCATTGTGGACGGGGGTCTGCCGGTGCTCACTGGACTCTCCCTACCTCCCATCCCGTTCAGAGCATCTTCTCTCAGAGACCTGCAGTGAGGGCAAGGAGCCGATGCTTCCAGACCTCCCCTTCCCTGGTCCCCTGGCTCTGACCGCCCAGAGGAGGAAACTGAGGCAGGGAGCAGTGGTGGACCCCCTGCAAGTAGCAGGGGTGGGGTCTGGGGGTGGGGATCCCCTGACCCATAGGGCTTCCCCAGGACAGAGGCAGCGGGTGCATTTGACACTCACTTGGACATTCTTCTGAGAGGTGCTCTCCTTGGTCAGGGGGTCCTGGCACCACACAGGAGCTCGGAGATCAGGAGTGAGGACAGAGGCAGAAGTCAGAGCCAGCAGGGCAGGCAGAGCCTGGCCTAGACCCCAGGCAGGAGGAGCACAGTGGGGAAGGGCGGGAACTGCCTACTTGCTCTGTGCTCCAAGACTAGTTTCTTAACCTCTCTGTGCCCCCAGAGTCCATGATAACAACAGCACCTTTCCCATTCATTCATTGCAGGACCATGCCAGCATTCTCTGCACTCACTCTTACACTGTTGATTTTAGGATTCTGTTAGGCTTGCGAGACTGGGAGGGGACAGTTTGGAGAAGTCCCTTTCCCTCACTGCCAGCCAGTCCCCTCCTGGGACTGTGAGAAGATTCACTCCTGCCTCTAGTGTGTTCCGGCTTAGAGGGATGCTCGGTGGGAGTGAGAAGTGAGGAAACAGCCCTGGCACATGGGCCGGGTCTAAACGGGAGGGAGGGAGTGGTGTTGTCACCGTATTAGTGATAACGGTAATTACCATGGAAATCACTTGGCAGCCTCCAGCTCATTGGCTCCCCTGAGGCCATAAGTGGATATGGGATGGGGGGTGGTGGGGGGTGGGAGAGGATGCAGGGGGTCTGAGTCTGCCAGTTGTAGAGACGCGCCGGCCTGGGGCTGGCAGGGGCAGGGAAAGCCGGGACCACATGTGGGCATGAGCGGGGCTAGGAGTCTTGTGCCAGCTTCAGCAGCGGCCTGAGTGCTTTGAAGAGGCTTCGATCAGAAGCACCCAGCAGCAGCCAGACCTTCCTCAGCTGACCCTCGGCTGGAGAAAGGAGGACGCCCTGCCAGGGGTCCCTGTGCAGCCCAGTATCCATCAAGGCCACAGGGGCCTGGCGGGACACGCAGGGGACCTTGTTAAACCCGAGTTCCTGCCGCTGATGAGCCCATTCATCCTAGCTTGGTGCCATTTTTAATAACATCATAACCATTTATTAGTGCCATCAGATAATTAGTCTTCTCACTAGCTCATGGGAAGCCTGGTGGAGGCCCGGCAATATGATCACTTCCTTATTAGGAAGCTGCACAAGACGTAAAAATGATGGATGTCCACCTTTGCAAGTGTCTGTCCCCCAGGGTCCATTTGGAGGTCCTGGGGGTGGGGAGCCCCTGACCCATAGGGCTTAGGAAGTCCTTCCCTGTCACTCTGCTCACCTCTGTGCCCTGTCACGCATCTTCCTGGGAACGGGGCCTGAGGGGCTGAAAAAAGGGGAGGGGGGAAAGGTGCACGCTCGCAGGCTGATGTCCCAGCCTCCTCCAGGTCACCTCCAGCCAGGGAAGCAGCAGGCAGCTCCATGGCACAGCGCCTCCTCCGTCCCCGCTCCGATTTTTACTGCCTCACCCTCCTCTCCCCTCACCTATTTTCTCGCCCACATGCCTGAATGACTCCCCTGAGTCTTAATGACTTCAGAATCCCAGGCAGAGGGTTCCAAATTCCAGGTCTGGCACATTCCAGAGAAGTTGGGAGAGCTGCCCAACCTTCTGGCCCCCGTTTCCGAATCTCTGAAGTGGGGGTGATAAAGACACTCGCTCGCAGGCTCGGGAGAAGATTTTTGGTGATTCAGCATCCAGTGCCGGCCACCTGCACTCCGTGAGAGTGGGGCATGTGGAGGGGGAGATCCAGAGGCAAGGCCATGACACCATCACCCAGACGGCCAGGCAGGGTCTTAGTTCTGGTCTCAGGCACTGGTACTCCAAGGTGAATCCTGTGCATTCTGGAAGATCCTAGGGGCAAGTTAGCATCCTGATGGGACAGGGCAGGGGAGAACAGAGAAAGGCATCCACAGGTGGACCCTTGTCAGGGCAGCCAGGTGCTCAGAACTTTGGGCAGCTCACATGTGCCTGTGGGTGCCCAGGCAGGCAGCTGGAGGACAGGGGAAGGTACCGCCATGCTGAGATGTGCCCCTCTGCCCACAGCTGCAGGTCCAGAGCCAGCAGAGAGCAGCCTGGACTCAAACAAACCAGTCCAAGAGCAGATGAGGAGGGGGCAAGATGCAATAAGGCCTGGGGGGGTGGTGAGAATAGAAGGGTGTCTAAGGTCAGACGCCTGCACCCTGCCCTGGATTCACTCATTCTGCAGAAATCTCTGGAGAGAAGGCTCGTCCAGAGATGAACTCCACAGAGGACACCCCAATTTAGATACCCTGACTTCATTAGGGGCTGATTTTGGAGGGGTGGGGCAGGATTTGGGGGTGGGGAAGCCAATAGTCAGACATGTCCTCCAAGTGCGACTGATGAACACATCGAGTGAGGCTTGAGATGCCTTATTCAGTGTGTCTCAGGACATCTTTGGTGTGGACATAGCTGAGGGACAGGGGGACCCTCCACTTCCTAGCTGTCTTTGATTCCCACGATGGCCTGGGCGGGGTAGGGTGTTGTTGCTGTGTCGGGGAATGGTTGTTGGGGGTCTGATGTGGAGCACGAGGGGGTTCTGAGCTGAGCACCCCGTGGTGTGTCAGCACCCCAGACCCACAGTGGCTGGAGTGGTGGAGCATCCACAGTGGACGCTGTCACTATCCTCTGGGACAAGCACCAAGTCAGCAGACACCTGACATTCACATTGCCATTGATTCCCCTGCCCAGGGACCTGAGTCTGACCTGGGAGCATGGAATGGGGGTGATGGGCACCCAGCAGAAGGGACTCCTGTGCTGAGACTTAGTGAAGGAGAAAGAGATGTGGGGAAGGGGGCACCTGCCTGTGTGGGGGTGGTGAGGGGCTCACCTCCCTGTCCTGGCCGGGGACCCCCAGCAGCTGCAGAACTATGCATACAGACCCTGGTAGGACACACATCTGGGGGGCCTGTGGGGTGTAGGGAAGGGGGTTCTTTTGAGAATGGAAAGCGAGGTGCCTCCCTCCTTGTGCACCCCAGCAGAAATTACTGATGAATTGTCCTAAAAGCCAGACATAGGACATGACACCGGAAGCAGAGGCCCATGGCCCTTCAGTCAGCACTTTGGGATTTCTGGCATCTGTTGGCATCTGCTAGGTTCATGGTGATTCCCACATCACCCATGGCCTCAGAGCTGATGGCTCAGTGTGGCTGCTGACTTTTGGATCACCCACAGATCTAACCTCCCCAAGGTTCAGGGGGACTTGGTGTGCACCCCTAAAAACCATTTATGCAGCAGGCCCTAAGGGGGTGCTTGCTGGATGCTTGCCTCCTAACCTTACTGTTCCTCCAGCCTCACTAATCATTCATTTCTTCAAGAACTGCTTTCAGAAAGATAGTCCGAGGGGTAAGACACTCGCCTTGTGTTCAGAAGACCCTAGTTGGATCCCCGGCATCCCATATGATCCCCCAAGCATTGCCAGGAGTGATTCCTGTGTGCAGAGCCAGGAGTAGCCACTGAGCACTGCTGGGTATAACTCAATGTCTGACCCCTACAAAGAACCACATCCAGCCAGTCCCTGCTTGTAATGTGTGAATGCAGTAGTCAGCCATATAGGTGGGGAGCCCCCTGAGCCTCAGGAGCCCCCATCCATTGTGGTAGATGAAATGGACAATCTTCTGTAAGCCTATGAATAGTGGCAACTGCACAGTCAGGGCAAGCGTTCTGAGGGTGCCCCGGGCCTTGGCCAGCTGTGTGACAGCTATGAGTCGCCACTCTATATGATGTGCCAGTCCCCATCTTCCTGTGGCTGTGGGGTTGGCTGTCCCGCTCACATCCAGAGCCTTCCAAGGGATACTTTCTGGAGCCGGGAGCTGGGTCATCCACCAACACCCACTGTGACTTACTTCCCTCATGTCACTTGTTCTGAAATCTGCCAGCTGGTTCTAAGGACATGCTGGTTTAGTCTCTACTGGGCCCCAGGTGTCCCCATCCATTCAGTTCCCATATTTCCACTGAGGCCCCACCAAAAGCCAGGGTCTAGGCCAGA